TTTCTTTATATGCTACCTCTGGGATCAATTATAAAAAAAACATAACCTGTCTTTTCCCCTATATGCCGACGACTTGCAGATATATTTGCCCTTGAAACCAAATGAAAACACTGCATTCACTAAGCTACTGGACTGCATCACAGATATAAAGCAGTGGCTGTCACAGCAAAACCGAATGCATTTTGTTTGGTTCTCCATCAATTTCAAATGTTCTCACTAGGGATGCACGATATAATGGGCCCCCTATCGGTATCGGCCTTAAAACTGAATATCGGACATCGGACACCCCACCGATATTTAACCCGATATTTGATAAGCTTCTGAGTTTCTAAAGTCTAAAATAAAATACTACTTCTTCTTCCTCAAAAACTTCTTTTTTACAGACTTAAAAACTTCTAAAGACGAGGGAAAAAATATTGATCCAATAAAATATCCCAATATCTTCATATGCTGATATATTGCCATTTAAAATGTCATCGTTATGCTACAAAATCCCCCGAAAATTCACCAAATGTTGCCATATTTTTATATGTTGATATATTGACGCGGTATCGATCTATTTTACTAACAAAATCTCACAAGAATTTGCAAAATATCACGAGAGTTTGTAACAGAACGATGAAATTTCACGAGATTTTGAAAGTAAAATAGATCGATACCGCGTTTTAAAAAATCAATTTCATATCAGCATATGAAAATATATTTGAGTATATTATTTTTCAAAGTGTCAGAAATGGATAACAAAACTGCTATTTTAAATGACTACTTATTTTTGTCCAGCTTTAACATCGGTATCGATATCGGTTATCGGCTACATGAGTTTTAAAATATCGGCATATCGGATATCGGCCAAAATCCCAATATCGTGCATCCCTAGTTCTCGCCACAAACTCCTGCAATCTAGCCCCCCTTTTTAAATGCCATGTCAAAAATCTCGGGGTAACATTTGATAATGGGCTCAAATTTGACAATCAGATTAGCTCCGTTGTCAGCTCGAGCTTTTTTCAGCTCCGTCTTTTGGCCAAAGTCGCGTCTTTTCTCAGTCGGCAGGATCTTGAGAAGGGTCCTGCTTTCATTAGTTCAGGACTGGACTACTGCAATGCCCTTTACGTTGGCCTCAGTCAATCATCAATTTCTCGTCTCCAACTGGTGCAGAACGCTGCCGCCCGATTTTTAACAAACACATCCAGACGTGAACACATTACTCCTGTGCTGTCGTCGCTCCACTGGCTTCCAGTCCGTTTTAGAATTGATTTTAAACTTCTGCTGTTTGTTTTTAACGCCATCCATGGCATGGCCCCCTCTTACCTGTCTGAGATTTTAACTTTTCGCAATTGTGGCAGAGCTTTACGCTCCTCGGGTCAGCTTCTGTTAGAGGTCCCTAGGTCAAGACTCAAACAGTGGGGCGATGGTTCTTTTGCCGTCGCTGCTCCCAGACTGTGGAACAAACTACCCCCTGACATCCGCACCACTACTGACCTCAGCCTTTCTAAAAAGCTTAAAACCTACTTTTTAAATTAGCTTTTAATTCTGACGAGGATAATACAGTCTCTTAGATGTCATCTTTCTGTGTGCTCCTTTCTATTCACCTCTGGAAGGCTTTTAATGTCCTGCAGCACTTTTAATTGTATGTTTTTATACGTGTTATGTATTGTTTTATGGCTTTGTTGTACAGCACTTTGGGTACCATTTGGCTATTTTAAAGGGCTATACAAATAAATCTGATTTGAGTAATCGATTCATTGTTAACTGGAGAATAGAGACCCACTTTAAGCAGAAATTATACAAAAATACATCCAAACATTTTGCATCTAAGATAAAAAAGTCATTTAATTTGACGATATGCTGATATCAGAAGCACTTAAGTGGAAAGTTTTAGTTTCCCATCGTTTCAATTCTGTAAAAACTCTTCTTAAGGGAAATTTTGCTGTCTGATTATTAATGTTTTATACAGCAATTTACCAATTTTGATTCCTGCATACCCGCCCCTCCACTGATCCGTCCCGCCATGGCGATATATCCAGGTTTCCATAAATAATATCAGTATGGAACTAGAATAACTTATGTCTATCCTTAACTTGCTAAATAAAGCCAATACTCATTTTTAAAACGTTTTATGATTTTTCTGAGACATTTTGCAGCCTTTTCCATTTTCTCCGTTAAACAGCATCTCTGACGTCATCATGGGACACGATCAGAGCAGTAAATCTGATTAATTCAATTCAATTCAGTTTATTTATATAGCGCCAAATTCACAACACGTCATCTCAAGGCACTTTCCAGTTCAACCAGATCATACAGTCAAATTGATACAAAGTTTTCTATCTAAGGAAAACCAGTTGATTGCATTGACTCATTGACTCAAATACAATCCCACACACTAAGCATGCTTGTAGCGACAGTGGAGAGGAAAAACTCCCTTTTAACAGGAAGAAACCTCCAGCAGAACCAGGCTCAGTGTGAGCGGCCATCTGCCGAGGCCGACTGGGGTTCAAGGAAACCGTGTTTATCTGCATTTAGTTGCTTCTTTCTTTAGATTACGCGCGATATAGCATAATGTTAACATGAGAGGAAAACATTAAACTCAGAAAGACTAGATTTATGTTTAAATCAAAGCTGATAAAGTTAGCTCCTGGAAGTAGCGTAGCATCCCATTTCCTGTCCAGATCGGGAACAGAGGATGAAACAGGACTTTAAGTAATCTATTTTCTCAGGAAATACATTATTAACCATAAACACATTATAGTTTAGTACGTTTAAGGCTGATTTATACTTCGAAAGTAGGTTGTCTGCGTAGGGGTCGCAGTGAACAAAGAGACGTCCCGCCCCCTCCGCTGCACCTCTCCCAAATTGTAGCTGACCGCAGACAGGAGGCCGGCTTGTTTTGTTTATATGTCCGAAATTGCGGAAAACAACTCGTGAAGTTTGACCCACTAGAAGAGCGAGGTGCGCGAGAACGCTGGGACCCTTTTTCCCCCTGGATCCCCACTATTTTTCACCTTTATTGTCCGTCAAATGTCGGACTAAACTCGTCCACACTTCCTCACCGCCTCGGCCGTATCTAGACCCACAGCGTGTAGCACAGACCACGCTCAGAATTGAGCGTAAATCAAAAAATGTCTGCGCCAAGCTCACTGCGACACACTGCTGCAGGAGGATAACCAGCCTTTACCGTTTCTAGGGAGGGAAAAATGTCATTTATGTCTTTTTAACAAAATAAACCTGGATGTAAATCTGGATGCGCAGCAAGGATCGGGTAGTGACATCACAGAACAAGCTCTATATCCAGCCATTCAGCATAGACCCTCCTACATGGCTGTACATCTTATTTTGGCATTTGACCAATTAGATGAGACCTTGAATGATAGATTACCTACTGAAAATTAAGTTGAAAAAAAATGTTAAAGGAATAGTACACCCAAAACATGATTAGCCTTCATTTTCTACTCACCCCCATGCTGAACAACACTCTGGAGTACTTTTTTGATATCTCAAATGCATCTGGAGATCTGGGAGGCTTCTTGCCGTCTGCTGACATTCAAATAATGGAGGTCTATGGCGCCCGAGGCAGAAAGGTCCATAAAAGTCCACAAAAACGTGTCAATATTCCTCCATACTGCTCGTCCAATGTATTCCAAGTGTCCTGAGAGGGTAGCGTCCAGAATTTACTCGAAACGAAGTCATTTAGAATGTTTATAGAGCATAAACAGTAGTGTATAGGATTTCCTGAAAGCGCGCACCTGCGCGATCACGACGCTACGGAAGCCGGCAGACCGAGCCAGATGAAAGTGCGCATTCAGCTCGGCAAAGAACTCATGCTCTTCCTCAACACTGAAGTCCTCAGACATTTTTCTTTCGTTGTTTCTTTCTTTGCACAGGTAAACAGCACATTTCTTCTTCTACGCTTGCATTATCGGCAGAGCAGACGCTGAATGCGCACTTTCATCTGGTTTGGTCTGCCGCGGTTTCCGTAGACTCGTGAACGCGCTTTTAGGAAATCCTATACACTACTGTTTATGCTCTAAAAACATTCTAAATGACTTCGTTTCGAGTAAATTATGGACGCTACCCACTCAGGACACTTGGAATACATTGGACGAGCAGTATGGAGGAATATTGACACGTTTTTTGTGGACCTTTCTGCCTCGGGCGCCATAGACCTCCATTATTTGAATGTCAGCAGACAGCAAGAAGCCTCCCAGATCTCCAGATGCATTTGAGATATCAAAAAAGTACTCCAGAGTGTTGTTCAGCATGGGGGTGAGTAGAAAATGAAGGCTAATCATGTTTTGGGTGTACTATTCCTTTAAGAAGTCAATTAAAAGGTAAAAAGCTCATTTAAAAGTTAAAAAGTTAATAATCCTTGTTAAAAGTTATATTTTAGGTTTATAAACTAAAAAATGTTAAGTACCAGTATCAGCATTAAAGCCTCTAAGGTTATGTTGGACCAATAAAATGTGTTTCTTTCACTCAGATTGTTTTTCATGAATTTCTTCTAGAAGCACTTTTGTTATTTTTCTTAATATATTCGGTTAAATCTGCGTTTCTTGTTATTACATTGAAATACATTTTTTCCATCAAAATATCCATCTGTCTTGAATGTTCCAAAGGTAATGAGGTCTTATTCTGGATTCCAGTAACACTATTGGCTGGAAATTTAGATTTTCAAAGTATTTCACTGAGCGCCCTATAAAGAGTTAATGGATTAATCGAAAATATATAATCGACAGATTAATTAATTAGCTAAATAATCGTTAGTTGCAGTTTAGAAACCAGCTAGAACCGTCACTGCTGCAGTCAGAGCAGCTTCAGAGCCTCCAGGCCCTCAGGCCGCCTCCAATCACAGCTCTTCCTGTTCTCCTCCACTGCAGACATTAATCAAACCAGATGACAGCTCCCATCCTCCAATCAGAGCCTGCAGGGCTCAGGGGTCAAAGGTTAACCTCCTCATACAGCAGAGGGGGGGGGGGTTAATCAGGGAACAGGGCGTGTTTTCATACCTGACTGGAGGCTCCATGGAACAGCAGAGAGCAGCAGAGTGCAAGGCTCCATGGGAAATGTAGTCTCTGAGCCGCTGGTCTGGAAAACAAACAGTGAGGTTAGCGTCATGGAAATGTGTTCAGCGTTCAATGCGACACACGCAGACGGCCTGGTTTCCAAGTATAAAATCAGCCTTTAGACTTTTGACAGTTGTGATCATACTTAAGTATTTTGGCTAATGTGATTGGGTAAAATCTAGGGATGCACAATATAATCGGCCCCCTATCGGTATCGGCCTTAAAACTGAATATCGGACATCGGCCACCCCACCGATATTTAACCCGATATTTGATCAGCTTCTGAGTTTCTAAGGTCTACACAAAAAAAAAAAATACTACTACTTCTTCTTCCTCAAAAACTTCTTTTTTACAGACTTAAAAACTTCTAAAGACGAGGGAAAAAATATTGATCCATTAAAATATCCCAATATCTTCATATGCTGATATATTGCCATTTAAAAACACCATATCAATCTCTTTTACTAATGAAATATTGCTATATGTCATCGTTATGCTACGAAATCCCCCGAAAATTCACCAAATGTTGCCATATTTTTATATGTTGATATATTGACGCGGTATCGATCTATTTTACTAACAAAATCTCACAAGAATTTGAAAAATATCACGAGAGTTTGTAACAGAACGATGAAATTTCACCAGATTTTGAAAGTAAAATAGATCGATACCGCGTTTTTAAAAATCTATTTGATATCAGCATATGAAAATTAGGGCTGGGCGATAATTCAATAACGATATATATCGATCGATAGACGTGTGGCGCAATAGAAAAAAAGAGGGTCGATAAAAGTTCGATAAAAAAGAAACGCAGTTTTCCTTCCTTCTCATTGTAGCCTAGCATGTAGGTTTATGCTAGTCACTGCTTCCTCCCAACCAATCACAATCGCGGACCCAGGCATGCCGTCACCAAGCGCCGCCCTCTCAAACCACAACACAGAGCACATGAAGCTGTGCAGCAAGGAGAGGCGGAGGAAACTGTTCCAAAGAAAGGTTTTTGTAGTTCGGCAGTCTGGCAGTATTTCGGTCATGGCAAGTCGGACCAAAAACAAACCACAGTCATCTGGAAAATGTGTCGGGAACCAGTGAAAACCAGTCTGATAACGAAACCAACTTTTTTTTTATCATCTCAGCCGCTCACAGCCGCAGGAGTACGAGCTGTGTAGGCCCCGACGCGGCTCTCCTCCAAGGAATCTTCGGAAAATATATATATATTTTCAGTTCTGGGCAGTTTCCCACGTAGTTCTAACAATTGAGATAAAAATGCTGAGGGGCCTGAAACTTCAAAGTAATAACTCAGGTTAAAGCAGGAAAGGGGGGCGGCGGCGGCGGCGGTGGGGGGGCATTTATTTATTTGTTATATTTATTTTGGTCACTTTAGTTTATTCTTTGTCAGTATTTAATAACATAACCCAGGTCTCTTAAGTTATTTTTCTTTAAAACAATTCTGTTATGGTTAAAAAAGTTGGTTAAATAAAGATTTAATTCGAAGTCTGTGTTTGTGTTTTTTATTAAAATTAAATCATTTAGCAATATTATAAAAAGTCCAGGCAGAGCTGCACATAAAATATGGTTTCAAATCTTTTCAATAATTATCGATATCGATCAATATGCATTTTTTTTTATCGATAAGCTTTTTTTCTATATCGCCCAGCCCTAATGAAAATATATTTGAGTATATTATTTTTCAAAGTGTCAGAAATGGATAATAAAACTGCTATTTTCAATGACTACTTATTTTTGTCCAGCTTTAACATCGGTATCGATATCTGTTATCGGCTACATGAGTTTTAAAATATCGGATATGGGCCAAAATCCCAATATCGTGCATCCCTAGTAAAATCTCTGCCAAATTAGATTGGTTGGTTTAACCAAAAGATTAGTTGAACACAAAACTTCCAACCCGATTAAAACCAAAAACTGTGGAAAAACTATAATGTTTGAATAAAAATGACTAAAACCTTTTATTTCGCTCATCATTGCCCAATTCTTACGCTTTCACTGTTTGCTTAAACTTATTTCACTAAAATGGCAGAAAAACTGTTTCTTAAATTATTTTTCTCCTCTAAGAAATTTCACACAAAAAAAAACCTTACAAAAGATTTTATTACACACACCAATCATTAATATTTTCAAAGGAACTTAAATGGGAAAAAACAAAAAAACAACTGCAAAAAAATCCCAGATTCTATCACTAACTGTAGTTCTGCAGTCCACCAGTAGGTGGTGACATGTTCACATGAAGCTTCATGAACTGTGGGGATCGTTGAAGCAATTTGACCAAAACGGTTCAACCAATCATGAGCTTTCATTTCACTGTTACCATTTCAAACATAATGCGTCATGTTGCACAGCATATCCCTGTTACATCATCATCAGCTGCCTGATATAAACCTTTTAGCCGTTAGCCGCTCAGAAGCAGATCTCTGGACAGAAGGTTCAGATGGAGAAAGGTTTGTGGTTTTTATGTTTTTAAATGGAAGCGGCGGCCAGTCTGATGCCGACTGCTTCCTGTTAGAGCGGCGAGATAAGGTCCAGGGCAGGTAGCTGGGAGCCAATCAGACGAGCCGTCTGATGGCATATTTAAATGACAGCCGTGACCTCTGACTGACCCTCGTCATCACTGATGGAACAGGAGATTTCACACCTTTGTTTACCGTTTATAACATTAATAAACAGGTTTAATCTTCCTGTTGGGGGAAATATGACACCGTCAGGATGATTAACCAATTAGGCTGCTCATCCTGAGGCCTTTCAGAGCCGACAGGTCAGAGGAGGATCCTCAGCACCGATGGAGGTCCAGGATCCAGCTGCTTCCTGTCTGCAGCTGCAGACATCTTACCTGCAGCTCTGAGGCTGGATTCCTCAGCTGGAAAGCGGTGGAACCAGTCCCTGAGCTGGAGCAAAGGAATGCAGCTGATGAAGTGCAGCTGAGCCGGTCTGAAGGAGGCGGAGCTAAAGATACAAACACCAGGAACCCACCAAAATGTCCGCCTGGTTCAGAGCAGAGGACTGATGGGGGAAAACTAGCCGCCACATACCAGTCCACCCCCGTGGTAAACGGGTTCCAGCAGAGGTGTGGCACCGAACCTTCCACAGGCTGCAGTGACTCACTGCTGCTGTTTTTATCCCAACGGGAATACTGGCTTTCCAGGAAACATCCAGGGATTTACAGCCTTATAAAGCAGCACGCAGACGGCCTGCTACCAGAACCCAGAGGCAGGAAGTGGCAGCCCAGTGTGGGCCCTCTGAAGCTGAACGACGACGAAGAAGAAGAAGAAGAAGAAGAAGAAGAAGAAGAAGAAGAAGAAGAAGAAGAAGAAGAAGAAGAAGAAGAAGAAGAAGAAGAAGAAGAAGAAGAAGAAGAAGAAGAAGAAGAAGAAGAAGAAGAAGAAGAAGAAGAAGAAGAAGAAGAAGAAGAAGAAGAAGAAGAAGAAGAAGAAGAAGAAGAAGAAGAAGAAGAAGAAGAAGAAGAAGAAGAAGAAGAAGAAGAAGAAGAAGAAGAAGAAGAAGAAGAAGAAGAAGAAGAAGAAGAAGAAGAAGAAGAAGAAGAAGAAGAAGAAGAAGAAGAAGAAGAAGAAGAAGAAGAAGAAGAAGAAGAAGAAGAAGAAGAAGAAGAAGAAGAAGAAGAAGAAGAAGAAGAAGAAGAAGAAGAAGAAGAAGAAGAAGAAGAAGAAGAAGAAGAAGAAGAAGAAGAAGAAGAAGAAGAAGAAGAAGAAGAAGAAGAAGAAGAAGAAGAAGAAGAAGAAGAAGAAGAAGAAGAAGAAGAAGAAGAAGAAGAAGAAGAAGAAGAAGAAGAAGAAGAAGAAGAAGAAGAAGAAGAAGAAGAAGAAGAAGAAGAAGAAGAAGAAGAAGAAGAAGAAGAAGAAGAAGAAGAAGAAGAAGAAGAAGAAGAAGAAGAAGAAGAAGAAGAAGAAGAAGAAGAAGAAGAAGAAGAAGAAGAAGAAGAAGAAGAAGAAGAAGAAGAAGAAGAAGAAGAAGAAGAAGAAGAAGAAGAAGAAGAAGAAGAAGAAGAAGAAGAAGAAGAAGAAGAAGAAGAAGAAGAAGAAGAAGAAGAAGAAGAAGAAGAAGAAGAAGAAGAAGAAGAAGAAGAAGAAGAAGAAGAAGAAGAAGAAGAAGAAGAAGAAGAAGAAGAAGAAGAAGAAGAAGAAGAAGAAGAAGAAGAAGAAGAAGAAGAAGAAGAAGAAGAAGAAGAAGAAGAAGAAGAAGAAGAAGAAGAAGAAGAAGAAGAAGAAGAAGAAGAAGAAGAAGAAGAAGAAGAAGAAGAAGAAGAAGAAGAAGAAGAAGAAGAAGAAGAAGAAGAAGAAGAAGAAGAAGAAGAAGCAGAGCTGCAGGAGCAGCGAGAGCTGGAAGCGTGTCTGGACCTGGAGAAACCCGACCCACAGGGAGGAGCTTAGAGACCCTCAGAACCAGCTTCAAACTGCATCTTCATCCTGATCTTTGGAGAACATCAAACACAAATCAACCCTACAGAGGTTCTGCAGACCCAGGTTCTGTGAGTCCAGGTTCTGCAGGGCCAGGTTGTGCAGCCTGAGGTTCTGTGAGTCCAGGTTCTGCAGGCCCAGGTTCTGCAGCCTGAGGTTCTGTGAGTCCAGGTTCTACAGGCCCAGGTTCTGCAGGGCCAGGTTGTGCAGCCTGAGGTTCTGTGAGTCCAGGTTCTGCAGGGCCAGGTTGTGCAGCCTGAGGTTCTGTGAGTCCAGGTTCTGCAGGCCCAGGTTCTGCAGGGCCAGGTTCTGCAGCCTGAGGTTCTGTGAGTCCAGGTTCTACAGGCCCAGGTTCTGCAGGGCCAGGTTCTGCAGCCTGAGGTTCTGTGAGTCCAGGTTCTGCAGGCCCAGGTTCTGCAGCCTGAGGATCTGTGAGCCCATGTTCTGCAGGGCCAGGTTCTGCAGCCTGAGGTTCTGTGAGTCCAGGTTCTGCAGGGCCAGGTTCTGCAGCCTGAGGTTCTGTGAGCCCATGTTCTGCAGGGCCAGGTTCTGCAGCCTGAGGTTCTGTGAGTCCAGGTTCTGCAGGCCCAGGTTCTGCAGCCTGAGGATCTGTGAGCCCATGTTCTGCAGGGCCAGGTTCTGCAGCCTGAGGTTCTGTGAGTCCAGGTTCTGCAGGGCCAGGTTCTGCAGCCTGAGGATCTGTGAGCCCATGTTCTGCAGGGCCAGGTTCTGCAGCCTGAGGATCTGTGACTCCAGGTTCTGCAGGGCCAGGTTCTGCAGCCTGAGGTTCTGTGAGTCCAGGTTCTGCAGGGCCAGGTTCTGCAGCCTGAGGTTCTGTGAGTCCAGGTTCTACAGGCCCAGGTTCTGCAGGGCCAGGTTCTGCAGCCTGAGGTTCTGTGAGTCCAGGTTCTGCAGGGCCAGGTTCTGCAGCCTGAGGTTCTGTGAGTCCAGGTTCTGCAGGGCCAGGTTCTGCAGCCTGAGGATCTGTGAGCCCATGTTCTGCAGGGCCAGGTTCTGCAGCCTGAGGTTCTGTGAGTCCAGGTTCTGCAGCCTGAGGTTCTGTGAGTCCAGGTTCTACAGGCCCAGGTTCTGCAGCCTGAGGTTCTGCAGGCCCAGGTTCTGAGCTGCGTTCTGAGCAACACACCAGCAGCTGCTGTTAGCGAACGCTCTCTGAAACACCAGCTGCCATTTCACAACAATCTGAGCTTTGAACGCCACACTCTGCAGCAGCTGTTCAGATCCAACAACCAGACCAGAACCCGGTCCGTTATACGCCCAGAACTCCTTCTGAGGTTCTGACCGCTCCTCACAGCCTTTATCTGCCCACAGAGCGGATCAGAACCGCTGCAGGCGCTGTGAGCGGGTAGGGGAGGGGCTGGGCGTATTTCCAGCAGAGATCGATACCGACCCAAGACAGACTGGAGCCACGGAGACACCGGGTCGACCTTCAACCGATACCGGGCCGCAGGAGGACACAGCAGGCGGGGGGGGAGGCTCATCTGGAACCAGAACCTTTCTCACTCAGATAGAACCGCCTTCTTTAACAGAACAGAACCAGGTTCTGTAGAACAAACGGTCCAGATGAGAAGAGCCCAGCTCTCTGAATGCTGATTCGATACAGAGGTCCACCAGAACCAGTCTAGTTAAACATGCTATGGAGTAATGGACTCTAACCAGAACCACCCTGCAGCAGCAGGAGGAAGCAGTTCTAACGGTTCTGGACTGAGACCCGTTAAAAGGACACCTCAGATAAAACCCAGTGAACAGAACCAGAACCACAGATTGGGTTACTGGACTCTTCATCCGAAGAACCGGATTCTGAGAGCCGGGCTGCCTTTATTTATCAGCAGCAGGAGGAGGAGGAGAAGGAGGAGGCTGGATTGCATGTGTTCCTCCTCGGCTCAGCCACTCTGTCTCCAGGTCCATGGGGGAGGAGGGGGAGGCAGACAGAGGAGAGACTGAAACATGATCCGCTTCCCTCCTCCACAGAACCACAGAACCTCAGAGACTCCCTGAGAAACCCGATCCTGGATTGCAGGCTGGAGAGACGCTCTGAGGGGGGAGGAGGATCCCAGGAGGAGCAAACTGAGCCGAGCAGAGAGGAGAATGGAAACAGCAGAGAGACCTTCACACATCTGGGCTCAGGTTCTGAGAAGAAACGGACTGAGCGCCTCCAGAACCCCCCAGGACCCGCCCCCTAATCAGAGGCCCACCTTCAGCCGCCCCTGAACAGAACCGCCCTGCAGAGGAGCCGGACTGGGTCAGAAGGGTCCGGCTGCAGCCTCAGCTGGACACAGACCAGCTCTGGTTCCTCTGCAGCATTAATGGTGTCCCACTGAGGGGGGTGGGGGGGGGGGGTCAGAGTTCAATCCAGGTCTATTCTGTTTATTTCACAGATAATCCAACAGATTATTCAGTCAGATTAACCAATCCTGAGACCTTAAAGCCAACAGGTCCGCTGTTCATTGCTGACCCAATCAGAACCAGACCAACCCACACAGTACCTGGTTCTGAGACAGAGTCCAAACATCTTAGAAACAACCGAGAGGAAAGCTTTGTTCTGATCATGGGAGCGGCGGCCATCTTGGATGCAGAGGCCAGTACCGTCGGGTCAGAACTCTGCCTTCTGGTTAAACCCAGCTGATGTTTCATCAGAACATCTGACAGCTGGAGATCCAGAACCGACCCGACGTTTCCCTGGAAACTCAGAGGGATTCAATTAAACGATTAAAACCTCAGAAAGCAGAAGCACGGAGGAGGACGTGTGGTGATGAGGGCTGAGGGGAGGCTAGAAGGCCGAGTCGATGGGATCAGGAGTCAGAACCAGGACCCTGATCTCGCCTGCTGGGTCTGGTTGGCATGGAGCGGGTTCTGACCGGGTCAGGAAAATCCAGACTGATGGAGAAGAAAACCAAAGAACGGTCAGAACCGGGTCAGAACTTCAGGTCAGACAGTTTGCTGCTGGTCAATGGTCTCCAGGTTCAAACAGAGCGGATCCAGTAGGTCAGAACCAACAATGTGACCGGGAACGCCATCGACCCACTAACAGCGGAGATAAAGAAGTTCTGATGGGTTCCTCTGGGTTCTGGAGGAACCGAGGATCCTGGTTACTACTGATGAAGAACCAGGAGGACATCCATCCAGCTTTAAGGGTTCCAGAACCAATCCAACATCCTGCCAATTGTTCCCAGACCAGAACCAGACCGGGTCAGAGATCTGGGCTTGAATCATCAAACATCTGCAGCTCAGTCCAAATATTTAGGGGGGAAGGAATCAGCTTCCAGGAGGGATCAGAACCAGAACCAGATGTTACTGCAGGCAGTTCTGGACCCAGTTTAACCCGAACATGTTTGGTTTTTCGGTTCCGGAGAGTTTTTATATCAAAATGGGATTAATTTCAAACTAAAACCAGACAGAGAGAAAAATAACCCGGAAACTCAGAGCAGAAGAACTTTGATTCCTGCTGAGGTGCAGATCTGGGCCTCAACAAGCCCAAAAAATGACAAATCTGGGTCCGAACCTCCCAGAACCGGATGGTATCCAGTAGAACCGAGACCTGAGGGTTTGATTTGGTGAAAACTTCAGAGTTTGGACCCTGATTAGATGCTCATAATGAAGAACCAAGCGGCTCCAGGAATTACACGCTGAATGGAAACCAGACCCGCCTGATGGAGCCGCTTAGAAAACACAAAAAACAGGGAAAAATTCTCCCTGAACAAGACTTTCCTCTGACCCTTCAGCTCCAACACCAACCAGGAGTAAAAACTGGAAAAATCCTGATTTTTCCCAAAGCTTTCCCAGCGGAGTTAGCCGCTGAGCTAACTGGCAGGAATGCGGCTAATTAGCGGTAAACAAACTTTACAAAGTTCGACTAAAATCATCCAGAAAGTCCTCCTCGGATTTAATTCAATGAACTAAGATGTTTTTAATTAATTTTATGGGTTTTTTTACATATTTTTGACACAATAGCAGATCGAAAACAAGCTGCGCTGAAAAAAAAAACTTTTTCCACGACGGCAGGATCCGTCTATCTCCTGGCGGCAACTCCGAGCCCCAATCTGTTCCCCTGACTCTCCTTCCTTTAGAATCGCTTCTAGATCCACCCAACGACTGGAAAACATTTTTAAACTCACTCCAACTTTTATCTGTAATTAATCGATCATTTAGGGATTGATTTGGATCGGTTACTTTAAATCTGGGATATTTTACAGGCAGCGGGCGCTCCAGCAGACAGACGGAGCTGAAAAGTCTCCATTCGTAGCCGCAGGTATGGAGACAACTTCAGGGTTACATTAGGTTAAATCTGCCCTTACCTTTATCCTGATGCCTTTGATCTACACCCCGATGATTGACAGGATCCTCTTAAACCATCCAGATCACCTGATCCAGATGGGAAGCACTGAGAGCGACTCAAAGGTTTATTTCCAAACGGTTTTCCAGAAATATTTTCGGGATCGTTGCTCCTTCGAGCTCCGTGATCTCTCACTCTGATTCCGCTTGTTACGAACCACCACAGAGATCCTCACAAAAACACGACAGCTCACTCTGTTTCTGCTGAGCCTTCTCAGAAGGAGAAGAAATCTGACAGAGATCCTTTCTTCGACGTGATGAGTCACTTTGACGTTACTGTAGAACAAGTGAAGGCGAGTAAATATCACAGAGATCCTTTGCCTAACATGAAGTATTACTCTTTGTAATATGTGCCATGGACAACATTTTTTTTTCAATTTGTCACAAACTTGCGAACTCTGCCGTATTAATAAATTAAAAAAAAAATAAAAAAAATAAAAAACTCGTAAATTAAATAAAACAAAAACTAAATTGCTAACTCTGCCAGAACTCAATGCAACATACAATGCTAATGTGTTAATAATTTATATTATATTATATTATTCTTTGCAAGCTGTAGTTCTTTAATAAATTGTGACATTTTAATTTAGTACTAATAATGAAAATGACTGGACAAAAATGCCCTATAACTAAATAGTAATAAATAAACTCATTTATCATACTGACCACCTAAAGTGATTCCCAAAAAGTTAAAAACAATCCTCTGGACTTTGTTTCCAAGTTTGATGATGTTTTTCTTCCCATCCCGGAAGCTTTTTCAATTCAAAATGAGCGTTTTTCGCTATCATCGCAGCCCCAACCCCTTTACAGGGGAACAGAAGACCTCACCTATTCAGCCAGGCCAACTATTCCCTCTAACGGCCCCCCTTTCAGAGACATAGACAGGTATGGGGCATTGCAGGCTAACAAAGAAGCCAAACGACCCCCATTCCAAAGGGGGGGACCCGTTCATCCGTTTCTATTTGCATGTTTTCTAAACTAAAACCAGGCTTTGTTGGGCTGCTGGATAAAACCTGGAACTAAACGCTATTTCTGACATTTGGAATTGAAAAATCTTCCTGGATGGAAGAGAAACGTCTTTAAACTTGGAAACAAAGTCCAGAGGATTGATTTGAACTTTTTTGAATGACTCTGACCTGGATGACTGAGAATCTTCACCAACACACTCTGCTAACTAACTCTGCCAGGCATTGGTGGGTAGAGACTACCCAAAAATTGTACTCAAGTAAGAGTAGCTCTACTTTAACATTTTAAGTAAAAGTTGAAACAGTGTTCAATAAAAAGGCTACTCCAGTACTCAGTAATTGTCGGATACTAAGATCAGATTTACTGTTTATAAATGATGCTGGTAAGAGCTTCAAACCAGAGCAACTTTTACCGCATTCATAGCCCGGCCAGCCTGACTGATACGACATAAACATGGCGAATCATCTGGGAAAGAACTGGTAGAGGTCGATTTAAAAGGCGGGACGAAGAGGGTCATCGTCATCACGACCAATCAGATGTGAAGCAAAAACTCCAAGCAATGCGCCCTTTAATTGTCATTTTGGAATTCGTGAAACACGTCAAGTAGGGAATTCAGAATACGACCTTTTTACAAAGACCTAAAAGTTAGCTCAATCTCACTTAGGGCATCATTAAAACATTGCTCTGCTGCGGTCGCCATCTTTCTTTAATGCTAACAAAAAGGAGCTGAGAGTGATGCATCATAAAGTCCCACATCCTGCGCTGTGATTGGTTCAGCCTGATCCAAGAGGAGGGATTTACCAGACTGAATTACGCCCCGTGTAATGCGGTCTGGCATTGCCAGGCATCGGTGGGTAGAGAGTACCCAAAAGTTGTACTGAAGTAAGAGTAGCACTACTGTTAGAGTTTTTTAGTAAAAAGGCTACTCGAGTACTGAGTAATTGTTGGATACTGACATCAGATTTAATGTTTATAAATGATTCTGGCAAGCAGATTTTATGGACAAGTTCTGGTATTTTAATGACTCAAAGTATAAAAGAACAAATTTGTGCAGAAATACTTTTACCAGTTTTGTTTTCCAACATAGAAATTAGAAAACAAATCCGTACAATGAGAGCTGTATATATATTAGGATAAGGTCACAAACGTCCACTGTTAATATCTACCGTTTACTCTGAATTTCAAATAGTTCAAATTACTCGGAGGACAGAGTAGTCAGAGATTTGACTCAAGTAGGAGTATTTTTTACAGGAATATTACGTAACAGTAGAAAGTACGCAACAGTAGACCTATTCCAAGACATATTTTTTTTTTCAAATTGTTAAGTAATGTAAGTAATTACTCCCCACTTCTGGTCCCAGGCTAACACGTTCATATATCCATATATAGAAGAAACCTTTGGATTACCTGCCTTGCTCAGGGGCACATTGACACTTGGCAAAAGGTAGCTGGAATCCAACCTACACATAAAGGACTGTAAGGTTGAGGAAACGTTACCTAACTCTAACCAACAAACCTAAAATTCAGTTAAAGTTACACCAGTTTACCACAGAAAATACACACTGTAATTCACTGCAATACATTTGAAAACATATGTTTTAGCTACATTGTATTTTCATCAACAATAGTGTCTAAATAAAGTGGTGATAAAAGAAAAACTGTTATTTTCATGATTTAAGAAAATAAAATCCAAAGTAAGAAGGTTTGGATTCAAAGATCCTTACTTTACCTTTGCTGACAACTTCTTCAGTTTATTTCACCTAGTATAGTTCTTTGATGAAAGTATTTTATTGAAAAAAATAATAACTTTACTTTATTTTAAAAAATAAAGTAAACTTAAAACAGGCTTAAATTGCCTCCAATTTAAGCCTGTAAATCAGTTAGGCTCTTGAGGGGAAAAAAGCAGAGTGAGACATCTTGCATATTTTCTTCTCTGTGTTCAATGCCGCTCAGAAATGTTTTTAGGGGCTTTTATTTTGAAATCAAATAAATGCTAAATGTCATTGCAGAACATGGCCTGTTGCAATGATTGTCAAGTCATCTGTGAATAATTGTGATTTTGGGTTTAATGTCTGCAGCTGGTGTTGCAACAGTTTAGTCAGACATACGGAAAAGTGATGACAGGAACCCGAACGAGGAACTTTAAAAGGTCACGATGGAAAAACGACAGAAAAATGTTCACTTAAATCCTAAAAACAATGAATTAAAGAGAAGAATGTGTTTGTGATGCTCACTTTATTCAGCCTGCAGTGCAAATAATGCTGCACATTTCCAACCGTGAGTCATGTGATAAAGCAGCTTTTTATTAATACCAGAGCTTCTTTCTTCAAACAGTGAACACTCCTTACAACAGTTAACTGTGATGTTAGCGCTTCTCTCTCTGTCACACTAAACTAATTCTGACATGCTGCTATAAACTGATCTGCATGCACACATTCACACTATGAAAAATAAACCGTATAAAAGGACGATACAGAGTAAAAACTGTACACAGACCATGTGCCAGTCGGACTGAGTGGAGATGAAGTTCAGACATGAAAAGATCACAGAGCTGCTAATGAAAAAGAAACAATTCACTCCCAACCCTTTAAATTCAGCCACTCAGTGAATAAAATTGTCTTTAAAAAATATGCATCATACATTCAGTGCATCTGACAGGTTGTTCACACTGCAAAACCTCAGATGCTTTGGCTCCTTAAACTAAAATAAAGATGAACTTATTCCTGTACACTGATGTTAAGGAGAAGTTTCAGCCTGTTAATGTGAGAAATGCTGGTTCAGGTTGATTTTGGTGACACCTGTGGTTGCTGAAGGTACTGCAAATAATTATTTTAACGGGAAATCGACGATCGCACTACCCAAAAATAAGTAAAGACACAATGTATGCAATTCTGCTTCTCCATGTTCCATCTACTCTTAAAAAACGTTTATAAACAATAAATCTGACTTAAATGACAGTTTTACAGCTCTGTGTTGCTGTAGTTGCTTTAGTGGCCACTAGATGCTGCTATAGAGCTTCGTATGAGGATAAATCAGTAAAAGTTTATATAGTAAAAACCTTTTCTCTGGTAATTTTGTAACATTTAAGTCCAATCATCAGAATATTAAGCAAAATTACAGCTGAACTAAAGACAGAAGAAGTTACCAGAATGTTTAAAGCAATCTCACTGGTTATCTTATTCATGCATCATAGTAGAAGACAAACATTTGTTGTTCCAAACTTGTACAACAGGGAATAATTTTCCAACTGACTCAAAATGTTGTTAAAAACTTATTTGTTCATTGACTTCACAATCGAAAGGTCTATAAAGTTTAAACTTCAACTTCCTCCTTTCTATTTTCAGTGAACAGTAATTTAGCCGCGATGGGGCGGGTTTAGCAAACTAAGCAGCTGATCTCTCTTTATATGCAGATGATGTTGTGCTGTTGGCTGAAATAGGTGGGGCTATGCTAGTTTTCTGGTTGGATAAGATTAAAACCGGCCGTTTGAGGGCCCCAGATCCTTAAGACCGATGAAGTCATTAAAGGAAGGAGGAGTTTAGGTTCGTCAGGATTGGTTTATGGCGATGATGGTTTACTTTTATATCTCTCCACATTTTTGTCATCGATTCACTTTTCTGCGTCTGTCTGACAGACTTGAGAGACCTGGGGAGTGATGGCCTAGAGGTTAGGGCAGCGGTCGGCAACCCAAACTGCTCAAAGAGCCATATTGGACCAAAAAACACAAATGTCTGGAGCCGCAAAAATGTAAAAGTCTTCTATCAGCCTTGTATTGCAACATGGGGTCTAAGTGTATTGGCTAACTATAGAAAAGGAGTATGTGCATTGATGAAATTCTAGAAACACGATAAAGTAATCTTTCGATGGTGGACGTGTTTCTGTTGGGAGGAGCTGATTGAGTCACTAGGAACCAAGCATATATATATATATATATATATATATATATATATATATATATATATATATATATATATATATATATATATATATATATATATATATATACACACTACAAAAAATTTTAATCTCAATAAGTAATTTTTTCTTAAAATAAGTGCATTTTTTCTTGTACTGAGGAGGTAAGTGAGACACTTTGCCAATCGAACAAGACAATTTACATTTAAAATAAGAAAAAAAAATTTATTGTCTTATTTCAGGTGCATATTATCTAATTATCTTATTATAAAAGTAAAAATACTCATTCCATTGGCAAATCATCTGATTTACCTGCTCAAATTAAGGATAAAAACACAAAATTTAAGAATTTTTTTTACTTATTTCTAGATTGTTTTTGTAGTGTATATATTATACATTACAAGGCAAAAAAATGGAAATCTCACTAAGTCATTTAAAAAAAAGTTTTTGTGGCATTAGTGGCTCATTATTGTTCACTAGTCTGACAAGAAAGGTAGTTCGAGAGCTAAGGCCTCTGTACATGGCACATTCGCTCAACAAAGAAAACCCCATGTGCATTTTTTTCTTGAATTGAGCAGGAAAGTGAAACACTTTGCCAACGGAAGAAGAGGATTTACATTTAAAATAAGAAAAACAATCACGTTGTCTTGTTTCCAGTGCATATTATTGACTTATCTTCAGTAAAATATACTCAAATATAGTCAAATTAAGGGTAAATACACTTAATTTAAGAAACGTTTACTTATTTCTAGCTTGTTTTTGCAGTGTAACAGGAATATGTTGACACTGGTGCAGCAGAGATGGATGCATTTTGAATCTTTTTATTTAACATCATCGTCTCCCATCCAGCCTCCTCATCAATCGCTCCTTCTGGCTCCTTTTCCTCTGAAACTTTTACCCTCACGCCTTTTCTTCAGGATAAAAAAACTGTCAGATTTATATCATTTAATTACTTGAATTGGCAGATTTTTTTCTCCAATACTGGATTCAGATTTAGAAGCAGTGTCTTATTTCAAGAGCATATCATCTAAGTATCTTATTTTAAGTGTAGAAATACTCATTCAATTGGCAAACTGTCTCATTTACCTGCTCAAATTAAGGGTAAATAAACTTAATTTAAGAAATTTTTACTTATTTCTAGATCGTTTTTCCAGTGCACCATGTGATCAAACTCAGCAGATTTAGCTCCATCTGCAGGAGAACCTTGCAAATGACTGAACCTCGTTCTGAAGTTCTGCAGTGTAAACAGAAACTAAAACAACCCAAAACATCTGATCTGCAGCAGATAATAAGGTTTACCGTTTAGTTACAAAAAAATCTAATAAAATCAACACTCCAAAATACAATTTGTGAAGCCAAACATTCCCAGAGAGGATCCATATTTCCATAAACCTCCCAGTGTTACAACAACCAATGAATAAAAAAGAAGGAAGATCAGCGTCATGGATTTAATCTGAGATTCTGCAGCAGCTTCACCTGCAGCAGATCCAGGTGTGCAGAGGATTCATTTGTTATTGACCCGTTTGTGGCCATTTTCAAGCATTTTCCGCACTGCATAAACAATGAATACTAGCCATAATTTATTAGAATAAGTGCATTTTCCCTTAATTCAAGCAGGTAAGATTTTCAAACAGTCATTCTATTGGCAGATTAGCTTATTTACCTGCTTAAATTAAGAGCCAATGCCCTAATTTTAATACATTTTTACTTATCTAATCAGTTTTTACAGTGTGAGCTGCAAAAACAATCTAGAAAAAGTAAAGTTCTCTGAAATTAAGTGTATTTACCCCTAATTTAAGCAGGTAAATAAGATGATTTGCCAATGGAATGAGTGTTTTCACTCTTAAAATAAGATAATTAGATCATATGCACTTTAAATAAGACGATGCAATTGTTTTTTCTTATTTTAAATGTACATTTTCTTGTTCCATTGGCAAAGTGTCTAACTAACCTCCTATATTCAAGAACAAATGCACTTAATTTGAGAAAAATTGACTGATTTTTTTACAGTGTGGTTATTTTGATCTCTTTATTCTCTATATTTCTGTCATTTCTATTTTTGCAGGTCGGTCCGTTTGCATCATTTGTTCCTGTGACTGACTTCAGACTCTAATCTGCAAACAAGCAGATCTTTTAAGAATAAAAGTTTATTTTCTGACGACCATCTGACCTTTACACTGGAAAAAATGGAAATCTAGAGAAGCCATTTTTTCTTAAAATAAGTGCATTTGTTCTTGAATTGAGGAGATAAAAGAGACACTTTGCCAATGGAATAAGAAACTTTAAATTTAAAATAGTAACAATTTCAGTGTCTTATTTCAAGTGCATATTATCTAATTATCTTATTTTAAGAGTAAAAATATTAATTATTGGCAGACTAGCTCGTTAACCTTCAAATTTAGGGTACATTGCACTTTGAGATTTTTTTTTTTTTTAAATGTAAAGTGCAATACAAATAAAATGTATTATTATTATTATTACATACACTTAATTTAAGAAATTTGTACTTATTTCTAGATCATTTTTTCCAGTGTAAGATGAAGGCGCTGCACTGGAAAAATGATCTAGAAATAAGTAAAGATTTCTTAAATTAAGTGTATTCACCCTTGATTTGAGCAGGTAAATGAGATAATTTGCCAATGGAATTAGTTTTTTTACTCTTAAAATAAGATAATTAGATAGTATTCACTTGAAATAGAGACAATGCAGTTGGTTTTTTTTATTTTAAATCTAAAATGTCTTGCTCCATTGGCAAAATGTCTCTTTTATCTCCTCAATTCAAGAACAAATGCACTTATTTTAAGAAAAAATGACTTATCTAGATTTTGATTTTTTGCAGTGTGCAGACAGACATAAGAACACTGCAAAAACTTTCTGAAAATTAGTAAAGATTTCTTTAAAGAAGTGTATTTACCTTAAATTTGAGTTGGAAAATAAGATGATCTGCTGATGGAATCAGCATTTTTACCCTTAAAATAAGGTAAATTAGATATTATGCACTTGAAATAAGAGACTGCAGTCTTTTCTTATTATTTTAAATGTAAGTTGTCCTATTCCGTTTGCAAAGTATCTCACTAACCTGCTCTATTCAAGAAGAAATACACTTGTTTTAATAAAAAAAAAATCTTCTTCCTTAGATGGACATTTTTTGCAGTGAGAAGTTGCTTCATCTAAAGGCCAGACGGTTGGAGTTAGGCCTCCTGATGTGACGCGCTGCTGTTCAGTTCCCTCATCAGATTCTAACATTAAAGTTCATCAGAAACACTTTATGAATAAAACAGCTTTGAGATCAAATGATCTTTTCACATTGTTGAACAATAAAGAAATAAAAGCGACGTAAAAGAAAAGCACCAAACGGGCATCTCTGCTTGAAAACAATCCTCAATAATAAACTATAATAATAATAAAAAAAAAAGAGCTTTTACGGCCCAAACACCAAACTTTAATGACAGACTCACACTGACACTAGAAATAAATCTTTTTAAACATATTGTTGCCTTCAGTGCAGAGTAAATCTCCCTTCCAGTAAGTGGAGGGATTGCTGCGTGTGAACTGAACAGAACAGAACCACCATGAATAAACAGATAAAACCCAAATCGGTGAGTTTGGAGCGAAGCTGCGGGTCGGCGCGGTCCGCCTCACGCCTACACGTTGATGGCGTGGGCGTGCTTTTTGCACAGAGGCTTGTCTTTCTTGGAGTAGAAGGGCTGACCCTCCAGGTTCACGTGGCAGACCTGCAGCAACAGCCGCAGTTAGAGGAGCAGAAAGGTTCCCGGACCCGCCCTCCCACCCAGAACCGGGTTCTTACCGCGCACACGAAGCAGGTGTCGTGCCAGGTGTGACCCAGAGCCTCGATGAACTTATCTCCAGCTTCCACCGGGAAGTCGCAGCCGTGACATTTGGTGCTGAAGAGGGCGATGTAATCTGAGGGACACCAGGGAGCAAAAGATTCGGTTTCAGACTTAGAGAATAAATTTTTAGCATTTATTTAAATATTAGTGACTGCTTTATGAGACACGCCTTCATGAACGCAGAAAAGCTCATCTGCTTTACAATAAATCTGTTCAAAACCTCAATAATCTGGTATTTATTCTATTTTATGTCAGAAAGCAGTTCATTAATATGAATAAAGACTAACTAGATGTAGTGGGAAAAAGTATTCAACTATTCACTTCATTTAAATAAACGGAGATCGATGGATTTCACTCAGTCAGCACTTTATTTTTATATCTTTGTAAGGAGAGAACAGTTCATCATACCGCCCTCATTGCACACTGGAAAAAATCTAAATCTAGATAAGTAACTTTTTCTTAAAATAACATTTTGCCAATGGGACACGACAATTTACCATTAAAATAAGAAAACACAATTATATTGTCTTATTTCAGGTGCATATTATATAATTATATTATTTTAAGAGTAAAAATACTCATTTTATTGGCAAACTATCTCATTTACCTGCTCAAATTAAAGGTAAATACACTTAATTTAAGGAATTTCTTATTTATTTCTAGATCGTTTTTCCAGTATGGTACTCTGGAAAAACTTGAATTTAGTGTATTTATCCTTAATTTGAGTAAGTAAATGACATAGTTTGCTAATGGAATGAGTTCTTTAATCTTAAAATAAGATAATTAGATAATATGCACTTGAAATAAGAGAATCCAAGTGTTTTCTTATTTTAAGTGTAAATTATCTTGTTTCTTTGGCAAAATGTCTCTTTTACCTCCTCACTCCAAGAAGAAATGCACTTATTTCAAGAAAAAATGACTTATCTAGATTTAGTTTTTTCCAGTGTAATCAGCCCCGTTCTGCCTGGGCAGCGTTCGTTCCTCCTTACTTACAATAATGGAAAGTAGTCAGAGTCAAAACTAATTACAGACACTTTGGCTAAACAGTAACATGTTATGAATAAACCTGAGAAAGAATCTGGCTTGGTTTGGGGAGAAGCTGTCTGGTCTACAGACATCCCCCTACGGAGGAGAATTCTGTGGCCTTGCAGGTTAAACAGGCTGAGTGAAAACTTTTATAGTGAGTAAATCGGATAAATAAATATATGAAATAATAGAAATCTAAATTTTCCGACCACAGGGACTAATCAGCAGACCGTTGATGTATCATACGATGTACCTTTCTCACAGTACGGTTCTCCGTCCTCCATGTGGAACAGGCTGTTTCCGAACGGCTTCCCACAGGCCGCACACACGAAGCAGGTGGTGTGCCACGTCTGCCGCAGCGCGTGCATCACTTCCTGCGGCACACAGCAGCTGGACGTCACTTCAGATTACAAACTAAATAAAACCGTTTCATTTAGACACAGACTTTATGAAACAAGCTTAAAATGGAAAATCTGGGTTAATTGAAACACATTTAAATTGATATTTCTTTTGAATTTAAAAAGAGAAAAACTCCTGATGTGATTTATCAGCCTCTGATTCTGGAGCACCTCAGGGCTCCATCCTCGGCCCCTTCATTTTATCACTGTTGTTCACTCAGAGGCGGTTCTAGGGGAAGTTTACTCGGGGGCCAGGGTGGGGCCGCTGTGTTTAACAAAAATAATGATGATAAAAACCTGGTTGTATCTTGATATGGCCGAAGTTTTAAGGTGACTCCATTTTTTTTAAAGGTAATTGTAAAGGTTGTCTGTGTTTTAAGTACAGGGGCCAGGATCAGTTCTCCAGGGGGCCGCTGTTGTGGCCCCTGATGTGGCTAATCAGGGTTTCGTGTGGAGATGGATACACTTAGCAAATAATCATATAACTTATTTCGTATGACACAACAAAAAGGTTCTAAAATGTAAAATCTTCTTAAAATTAGCAGGTAAATAATATGATTGCCAAACAAACCTGAAGTTTTCCCTCAGAATAAGATAATTACATATAAACTTTAAATTGAAATCATCTCATTACATTAGGAAAAAAAATGTCTTACCTACCTACTCAAAAAAAAAAATTTATTTATCGTAAACAAACAGGATGTTTTAAGATAATTATTACATTAATCAGTCAACATAACGACAAACTACTTGTTTGTCGTTATGTTGACTTTAACTCAGGGTGACCTTTATGACAAACGATCTAAGAATAAGTAAAAAATTCTTAAATTAAATGTATTTACCCTTAATCTGAGTAGGTAAATGAGAAATGAGTTTGCCAATGAAATTATTATTTTTAGTCTTAAAATAAGATAATTAGATAATATTCACTTGAAAAGTGTTTTCTTAATTTAAATGTAAATCGTCTTCTGTTGGCAAACTGTCTCACTTTCCTCCTCAATCAAAAAAAAAAAGAAACTTAAAAAAAAAAAAGACTTGTTTAGATTTAATTTTTTGCAGTGTAGCATCGGTCTCACCCCCATGATCTTGGCGTTGCAGCGGGCGCAGGTGGGAGCGAAGAACTCCTCGTAACAGTTCTCACAGTAGACGTTGTTCTGCTCCTCCACGAAGCTGACGTCAGCCAGAGAGACGTGGCAGTAGTGACAGTTAAACTCCTCGGGGTGCCAGGACCGGCCCAGAGCCACCAGGAAGGGGCCCCTAAGAGACAAAGAGGAGCCACACATTCAGTCTGATGAAGAGCCATGGTTTGCTGAGGTATGAGGGTGTAGCTACCTGATGACGCTGTTACAGGCTGAACACAGAGGCGTACGGCTGCTGGCAGCAAACCTCTCCGCTCTCTGGGCCACGCCCCTCGCCACGGGAAGGAACGGGGCGGGGCTGGGTGTTATGGGGGCGGGGCTAGGAGCAGGCGGCCCAGCGGGTGAGGGGTTAGGGATGTATGCAGGTTGGGGAGGGGCTGCTTGTGGAAGTGGCTGAACCTTGGTGGAGGTGGTGGTGGTCTTTCCAGGGTCGAACTTATCGGCGAAGTTGGTGTCGGTGACCCATGGAGGCCTGTTGGAGGAGGCGGACCCCTGGGGGGAGAATGAAGGAGGCAGGGCTTGGGCGGCGGCTGGAGGTGGGGGCTGGTTGGGAGCTGAAAGCGAAGACAATCAATAAGAAAATTAATTTATACCTTACATAAAGCGACACATTAATAACAGAGCTACGGTTTTATGCTAGCTAAAGCTGAAACTTTAACACCAGGATGTCTAAATGTTTTCAAACAAATGCCAAACTGTCAAGTTAGGGGCCGAAAAATGTGGCTGTTCTTTATGAAAAATGATAAATTAATTTGCTAATATTTTAATCAAACATTGTCACCTGATTTCTGCATGGAAAGGCTAACCTCAGATTCTCAGTTTTAGGCTATTTTGTTAATTTTTCCATTGATACCGGAAGGCTGAAGGACACTCGTATGACGACAACAATGTCCGTATTCTGGCCAAGGAAGACGAGGGAGTTAGCGAAACATCAGACCCCCTAACGACCTGCAACCGAGGCCCCCTTCTGCTAGGAAACTTTTGGGTTCTGCCTCCTTGCATCTGAAAATTTAATTTTTGCACTTTGGTTTTTGGGGACAATAAAAGAAAAGAGACCGGGGACGTCAAGTTGCCAGCCTTCCGTCATTTTCTACTACGCCACTGTTTTTCCTCCACTTGTCGACCATTAACCCCCCCAGTGACCTCCATGGCTGATCCAGTGGGAGGGATCAAATCCACCTGTAGTTCCCTCTAATTCTTAGTTACACCTACAATATATTAATCTCAGACCGCCCATCCTCAAGGTTAGAATTGAAAAAGCCACTTGGATGGAAAGCCAAACATCTTCTTGAAAACTTTACGTCCAGTTGCCTAAACTGAACCTTCCAAATTTGCAGCGGTAAACTGAATATGAGCCATATCATTTAAATGGCCACAAATGGACCTGAGGCCAAACTGCTAGTTTCCTGCTAACCTAAACCCACTGCTGGAGGTTTCTTCCTGTTCAAAGGGAGTTTTTCCTCTCCACTGTCGCTACAAGCATGCCTAGTGTCAGGGATTGCTGAAGAGTCAATGAGTCGATGCAATCAGCTGGTTTTCCTTAGATAGAAAACTTAGAATCAATCTGACTGGATGATCTGGTGAACTGGAAAGTGACCTGAGATGACATGATGTGAATTGGCGCTATAGAAATAAACTGAATAGAATGGAATACCACCCAGCCTCATACAAACCCTCAGTGCGGTGTGGTTTAAGCTCCATCATGAGCTGCCCTGCCTGATCTAGACGTCTCCAGCCCTGATAGGAGCCATTGCTGACTGTCAGCTGCTCTGGTGACCGCCTGATACTGTATCTCTGTCAATAAGCTTTGCCCTCTAGTGGCCACCATAGGTACATTCCCATCAGTGGTCTGCCTGTTAACTCCACTGCCTCCAGACCTGTAGGGTCTGTAAGGCCTCACCTGGCTGGGAGGGGAAGATGCAGGCAGTGCTGACAACCTTAGGGGGGGCGGAGCCAACAGGAATCTGAATGGAGCTCTGCTGGGTGGGCGGGGCTTGTGTGGGTGGCTGCTGGTGCTGCTGCTGCTGCTGCTGAGGGATTTGTTGGTATTGCTGAGGGATTTGCTGGTATTGCTGCTGGGCTGGCTGGTAGTGCTGAGGGGGCGGGGCCTGGTGCATGGGTGGCGGAATCACATACTGGCTGGAAAAAGACAGAAATGTTAGAGTTTAAAAGTTCAGCATCTAGCAGCAGTTTATTGGTTTCTTTAAAAGGCGAATGTCTTCATAAAACGATTATTTTCTGATTGATCCTGTTTGTTTTTCTGTCAGTGAGAGATTCTCTGATCGGACGCTAAGAATAAACAAAATAATCCGGAAACAATCTGCTAATCTAGTTTAGTCCAGTCTGGACACAGCAGCCCAGTCCCTCCAGGACAACACGACGATGCAGGCGAGACAATCATCACCGAAGGACGACATGGATTACTGTTGGGTTTAAATATTGTGAGTTCATATTTCATATCGGACAAAAATGAATCTGACGGACAAAGGGATTTTCAAACAGAGCTTTTCCTGCAGGAAGAGAAAGGTTAGCTGCTCACAGTTCAGCACCTTTCTGGCCCCCATTCAATAACCCCTACAATTACCCCGACTCACCACTGAGCCGAACTGGAAGCAACTTCAGAAACAGATCAGAGCAGAAATCCTCAGATCTGATCAAGATTTATTTATTTGCCATCAAAGCCTGGAGCGGCGAAATTTACGTTTCTGCAAAGCCGCTCAAAGAAAAACCAAAACACACAGAGACTAGATAGGAACCCGGGGGGGCGGGGAGTCCGAGGCCTTGGATCTGGAAAAAATTATTATCTAAACAAGTAATTTTTTTCTTAAAATAAGTGCATTTAGACAATTTACATTTAAAATAAGAAAACACGACAGCATTATTTAATCATATAATTTTACGATTAAAAAAAACATTTATTCCATTGGCAAATCATTCTACAATGCAGAAACAATCTAGAAATGAGCAAAAATGTCTTAAATTAAGTGTATTTACCATTAATTTGAGTAAGTAAATTACATGATTTGCCAAAGGAATGAGTAAAAATAAGATAATTAGATAATATGCACTTGAAATATGACAATGCAATTGTTTTTTCTTATTTTAAATGTAAATTGTCTTTTTCCATTGACTAAATGTCTGTTTTACCTCCTTGAAAATGCATTATTGTAAGAAAAAAAGACTCATTTAGAATGAAATTTTTTGCAGTGTATTTACCTACTCAAGTCCTGGGTTAATTCATCTAATTTAAGACATTTTAAAGAGATTTTTGCTTATATTTAGACCGTTTTTGCAGTGAGTCTCATAATTGCGAAACCCAATAGAAGAGATTTTACGGTCCACTCCGCCATGTTCTGAGATTATACCTTTCCACCTGTGAGTCTAGGAGCCGCAGGTGAAGCTGCAGACTGAGGGTATTTGAAAAGCAGCTGATCTCCTTCCTCTGAGTTCTCCTGCTGCATTCCAGTTTCCTGTCTTTGTTTTATATTCGCTAAAGCAACAGATCTGTGGACGGAGAAGCTGGAGAACCTCCCATCTGCAGGAGGTCAGCAGGATGGTGTTTGAATCGAATTAGGGTTTATTCCAGGGAGGGATTTCAGCTGGTGTGACTCACTGATGGGACTTTATTAGATTGTGGAGCGCAGACGGGGAGGAGGAGGGTCAGAGATTCATCTGCTGGGAGGAGGAGGGATGAAATTCCTCCATGTTGGATGAAATTATGTGCATCTCCATCTTAGCCTCTTTCATGTTTACTGGGCTCCAGGGCCGACATTAACCCAGCGGAGCTGGAAATCAATTTAGCTATTCCAAAAAAAGAAAATTAAAATCAGTCCTCTGGACTTTGTTTCCAAGTCTGAAGACGTTTCTCTTCCATCCAGGAAGCTTTTCCAATTCCAAATGTCAGAAATAGCGTTTAGTTCCAGGTTTTATCCAGCAGCCCAACAAAGCCTGGTTTATGTTTAGAAAACATGCAAATAGAAACGGATGAACGGGTCCCCCCCTTTGGAATGGGGGTCGTTTGGCTTCTTTGTTAAGAAAAATCTTCCTGGATGGAAGAGAAACGTCTTCAAACTTTGAAACAAAGTCCAGAGGATTGTTTTTGAACTTTTTTTGGAATCACTTTGACCTCGAGAATATTCACCAGTAATCTAGTCTTCATGGCAGACAGATATAAACAGCAATCAGAGTCTGAGGGATTATTTTCTACACAATTTAAATTCAAATCAGAGCTGCTCTGGTACCAGAAACAAAAAAAAACCTAAAAGAGCTTCAGAAAGCAGGAGAACATCTGATTCCAGGCTGCAGTGAAACTCAGTTCAGTCTATAAGATAGAAAGAAATATGCCTAAATCTAAACAATTACTGAAATAGTTTTAATCAAAGTTTTAATCAAAGGTTTTTACTGCAGAACAAACAAACAGAGCACTGGAAAATATTGAAATCGAGATAAGGGTTTTTTTCTTAAAGTAAGTGCATTTGTTCTGGAATTGATGGGATAAAAGAGACATTTTGCAAATAGAACAAAACAATTAACATTTAAGATTAAAAAACAACAATAACATTGTCTTATTTCAAGCACATATTATCTAATTATTTAAAATACTCATTCCACTGTTAAACTATCTCATTTACCGGCTCAAATGAAGGTTAAATACACTTAATTTAAGAATTTTTAAGTTATTTCTAGAATGTTTTTCCAGTGTAAATTAAAACTATGGAAATAATCAAATCTGGATTGTTTTAAATAAATTTGTTTCTTTGTTTTCTTCCTGGTTGGACGGCTTCATGTTTCTGCCTTTGAAGCAGATAAATTGAGATTTTTTTTCTAACTAACATAATTTATTCATTGTTTCTTGAACTTTGTGTCTTCAGCTGGAAGTGGATCAGATTCTTGGGTTTCTCTTCATCTGGAAGCTGTGAATCAATCCCAGCTGCTTCCTCCAGGAAGGGATAAAATAATCAAAGCCACAGTCTCTTTATTGGTGGATAAAAGCTCGACCTGTGGTCCTATTGATTCACGCTGAGGCATCGGGCGGAGAATGGAGTCTGACAAGAGGCGGGGGGGTTCAGAGGGATCGATGGGATGTAATGGAGGGATGATTAAATAAGTGCGGGGAGAACAGAAAGCTCCATCCATCAGTGGGGAGGGGCGGGGCCTCAGCTCCATCTGCTGCCCAACAACAGGATCAACAGATTTTTTCTGCAGCTTCTGAAGAAAAAACTCATCTGGTTTCCAGCCAACATGTTTCTGAAGGTTTTTGCTGAATTTAGAAGATTTTAAACCGACGCTAAAAACATTCAGCTCCTCAGAATCAGTTTTCAGTCAAACAGGAGATTCATTCATTCCTCTGATGTGTTAAAGCTGTTAGTGTGATCATGTGGTTTAAGGATGAAGAACCAATAAACGAGCTTTCAGAGACAGAAAGAACAAGGAGTTCAAGAATCGACTAATAATAAAAGAAAATCAGAGGAAACTAAACCACAGCAACACGAAACACGGCTAATGGGACCAGAACCAGGCTCTGACCCGAGTCCTGCACTAAAAAAAGAGAACTAAAGGCTTCTATGCTGGCCTTACTGGGTATGTTGCCATGGTAACTGATGCTAGAAACCTGAACACTAATTTTGACTGTACAACAATCAGAGGAGGTTCCCTGATCGCAGTACCAAGACATTCAGACCCATTTGAAACAAAAATAATTAAATAAAACAATGTTTATAATTCAAGTTTAAAGGTTTCAGGATCTAAAAAGTTTATTGTTTAACGTAACATTTAATCCGTTAAGCCCTGCGGGCCCCGGCAAGGGCCCAGCTGACACCTGCTGATGTTCATCTATTTATAGAAATTATCAATTATAGAAATTACACAGTCACATGGTGTTTCATCCACCCGCTGTTCAAATTAGGCTTTAAAATTTTTCAAAATGATTTTTTTTCCAGAAATTTGTAGTTGTGTTAACAAATAAAATGAGATTTAAAATTACGCCTTACATAAGCTGCTCTGTTGTAATTATTTTCTATTCAGGTTGGTGATATTATCTGTAAATTTCAATGAATCAATGGCTAAATCTGAGAAGCAACGGCTTTTCCTTATGCAGAAGGTTTCCAATAATGGAAATCAACATATTTGTTTGACCAGATTCCATTTCATGAGGAGAAAAAATGAATTTTTCAGAATCCATAAAGCCTGAAGGTTCATCCAGAGTTTCCAAAGGGCTTTAATGGTGTTTTGCATCGTTTATTTTAGGAAACACTTTGCCGACGCTAAATATTCACCTAGTAATCAGACAGGGTGACATTTAAAATAGTGATTCCACCTGAAAAATATTCCTAAATGCTTTTATGTTATAAAAATACAAACAATTTTATTTATAATTTATAGTTTGGGAGCTGAACTTGCTTTAATTCACAGATGGAATTACAGGTGGAATTAGATCCTAAGGCCCTCAGGGCTGAAGGGGTTAAAGTTCCCCTTACAGACAGGAGCTTTGGATGAGTTTGACTATAAAGTGAGACAACAGCACCCCCTGCTGGACACAAGAGGAGGGAACTCCTCAGAGAAGGAGAGCTCCACTTGGAACCAAATAGCTTTATTTATTTATTTATCTATTTATTATTTATTAAGCTGATTTTCAGATATTTAACAGATTCTTTAGCATTTATTTCAGGTTTATCTCCTTCTTGGGATCAGATTGAGATTAACCTGCCGTCAAATAGTGGATTATTTCCAGAAGGTTTTACATGTTTTTAATAAATTAGGTGTTATAATGATTTAAATTCCAACAATAATCATTTGTTATTCTGTTTAATCTGTAATATGATCTGAGCTATTTATATTTCAACAGCACCTCCTGCTGGTGAAGTCTCCTCATTACATGTAGGTTAGTTTTAGTGTGGAGGACCTCCTCCTCAGAACATGTGAACTCTGCAGAGGAAGAAGGATCAGATCAGACAGTGAGGGGAGAGGAGGTGACTGCATCCAGGGGGGGTGGGGGGAGTGCAGAGGAAGGGGGGTGTGCACAGGTGAGGAGGTGGGTTCTCTACAGCCTACCTGCTCCTCCTCATCACCTCCTCATCCTCCTTCTGCTGATGCTGCAGAGCTGGAACACAAACATAAGGATCACTGACAGCAGCTTGAAAACCATCAGTTTAGTTTGACGTTTGTCCTAAAATAAGAAGCTTCTTCTCATCATTTCTTATATTCCTGCATCCAGGCTGCAACGTCTACCAGAAACATCTGGAAGCATCTTCAGGCAGAGAGGAAACCAAACTGATGATTTCCTGTCCTATTCTTCCTACCAACACATCTTCTGCTAACTTAGACATCTCCTCGTCCTGGAGGAGTTCACAGGGGGAGACGTGGTCCTGAAGACAGCAGATGTTTCTATGGAACATCTGTTTAAAGCTTCCATCAGGGCTGAGGAGAAGATCTAAGCCCAGACCATGATCTGACCTCCTACCACCAGAGAACCAGGCTGCTGACAGACTGGAAGCTTGTCTGGAGAACTAAAGCATCAACTATTGTTCTTTCAATAAAGGATCGATGAAGAGCTGGAGACTCGGTTCTCTTTGCTCCATCAGGTTCTAGCAGCTGCTGATGGATGAAGTTCTGGATGCAGATTGTTCTAGCTGTCCAGGTGAAGCTGTTCCTTCATTAGTTTCATCTCTGTTGGAATAATTATGTATAAGATACTTAATGTTTGTTCTTATGATGTATAATGTGTGACATATTACTGTTCCAGAGAGGTGTATAGGTCAACTCTCAGGAAGTATTGCTCAAGCTTAACGAAACCAGGAGGTTCTCGGACCATTTGACCGCAAGACATTTGAATGCAAATTGACCTGTTCACTGAGGCTGCTAATTTAATTGTATTTCTTGTTTCCTATGCCTTTAGCGCAACCTCTGCTTGTGTAACTAGGGACCCCCCCCTGACTTTAATAAATAGCGAGGAGAAAGCTGAAGACCGGCAGAGTGGGTTAGAGATTTGTAAACTTCGCAGTCTCTTCCTACTCTCCTCGCGAGTAAAACTAAACTGATTGTGTCTGTGCCTTCTTTCTTTCCCTGTATGTATGTATGATGTTTTAGTTGCTTAGACCTGACAATCTCCTTCATCTTCAAGGGCTCCTCAAGATGAACATCTGCTCCTCAGACAGACAATAGTTCAGCCCTAAGGTGTCTCCAGTTTCTGGAATAAGTTGCAGTTTAAATGCAGGAATTGATGGATTTTACAGAACCTTCAGAGTCGAGGAGATTAAAGCTGAATTGAAAGATTTACTGACTTTTCTTCTTCTTTTCGGGTTATCTCCACCGTTTTCCAACTTACAGCCGTATCATAATGATTTAGCGGAGGAGGAGGAACCTGCCAGAGGGAACTTACAGGACTCGGTGTGGGTCATGTGGGCCAGGATCTGGAAGGTCTTGGACTGGGTGCTGGTGCTGCGGCGGCCCCAGTCATCCTGCTCCCTGTCTGTGTTCTGGACGGCCTGGTAGACCGGGGAAGCGGAGTCCACCAGCCGGTCTTTACCTGAGACGGGACTGGAACCGGATTCCCCCCAAAACCAAACCGGGTCAGCACAGAGACACTTTAGAAAGGTTCGGGAATCTAATAGTTCTAACTTAGTAAAAGACAAACTGACGTTATTTAGTGTTTGATGACATGAAGAAAAGAAGATATGATCACAGGAGGAGGAGGAGGAGTTTAATTAGGAGTTGATTTAACGTCAGGAGGAGGATCAGAACATCCAGGGTTTATCTCTTCATTCTTCTCTACTTTAACCCATTAATGGAACCTCAGCTAAATGTCTGAGTCTCTCATTAGGAGCTGATGAGTTTCTAATCACTCTGAAGTTTTCAGGTGTTTTTGTGAACATTTGGTTCAATCTGTTCTAATGATTACCTCTTTGTTAAATGTTGACTTTTTGTGTGTTTTTTATTTCAGATTTTATAGTTTTTTTCTGTCAAAAGATGTTAAAATAGAATAATGTAAAGAAAAAAAAATTTATATTGAAAAGTAGATTTTAAACTTTATGTTAAATAAAAATAAAATAAAACAGAAAGAAAGAAAAATAATAAAACAACAGCAGCGATCAAAACAACATGGATGATGGATGGATGGATGGATGGATGGATGGATGGATGGATGGATGGATGGATGGATGGATGGATGGATGGATGGATGGATGGATGTAAAGTGTTATTAAAACAGATCTACAGAGGGGATCAGGCCACTGAAACACAGAGCAGAACCACATAGAACCAAATGGACCTCAGCTAGTTTGCTAGCAGCGCAGAACCAACTAATGACACCAGAAAACCAGAAGCAAGCAGATCTAAACAGAAGCCTGTCTACTTTTAAGGCTAGGCTTAAAACTTTCCTTTTTGATAAAGCTTAGTGGCTCAGGTTATCCTGAACTTAGACTTAGACTCAACTGTATTTATCCTTTGGTATAACTCCTGCAGGAAACTTCTGGTTCCAGTAGTTTATATAGAGTAGAGTTAAAGCAAGATGCAATCAAAGATAAAAATGCAAGCATTAAAAAGAAAAAAAGTTGTAATGTCTTGGAATATGTTTCCTTTAGATATAATAATATCTCTATAGTGCTGCTGCTATAGGCTTAGACTGCTGGAGGACATAGGGACCCCTTTTTCATCATTCTGCTTCATTCTATCTCTATTCTCCCACTCTGCAGAATCTGTTAGTTCAACCCATAGCTCACCAAGTCAATCACTGGATGCAATCAGCTGGTTTTCCTTCAATAGAAAATGTTCAACCTTTAATCTGACTGGATGATCCGATTGATCTGGATCTATAAAACCACCTGAGATGGAATGTGTTGGAAACTGGCGCTACGGAAATAAACAGGATGGAAAATTGAATTGAATCGATTTGATCATCAGAGCATCAGGAAGAAAATCCCAGAAGACTTTCTTCACATCACCTCCTGCAGCAGCATCAGTCACACTCACACAAAACGGACCGAACCAAAACCAGAACCGCCTTATTGGTCCTGATGTTGAAGGTAAAACCTGAGTATAGACCATTAATGCCAGAACACAGAACCAGAACCAAACCCGGAATGGAAATCCTCAAAGATCCGATCTGATAGAAGGATGGAGAAGCTGGGATCATTTATTCTACGTCCAGCAGAGGGAGACAGAGAGCAGAAGATCAGCAGGTTTAAAGCATCAAGGTCACATCCTGCAGCTTTTAAAAGGTATAGAGAAAGAGGAAGAGGAGGAGGAAGAGCTGGACAGCAGGAGGGGGGTCCCTACCCAGCTTCGTGTCCCTTGGCCTGTGATTGGCCAGCGATGGTGTCCATGATGGCGTCCTGGGAGTACAGGCTGATGGGCGTGTTGTACTGGGCGTGGATGATGGTGGCCTTCCCTCCAGGACCGGTGACCTCGATGCTCTTATGGCTGGAGACCGAGACGTCCTTCATCACGCCGGGGTGGAAGCCGGCGCTGAGGGGAGGACGGATGAAGGGGGGGACAGGATGGACAGACGGAGGAGGAGGAGACGGTTGAAAGAAGAAGAACCATCCATGCAGCTGCAGGCTCACAGCAAACAAACAGCAGGCCCGGTCCAATCCGCAGAACTTTGGTCTGATTCTCCCCCTTTTTCATCATTCTATCTCTATTCTCCCACTCTGCAGAATCTGTTAGTTCAGTCTCTAACGTTCTGCTCTCTCTGCTTTTTCTCATAGTAGCTTCATCTGGTCTGTTCCTGTTTGGCTGTGACTCCATCCTGGAGAGAAATATCAGCTGTGCTGCTGCCATCAACACCTTTGTTTCTAGATGTTGGAGCTTGGCCTGTTTTCCAGTGTAGTCCTGTTTCTCTGACTGCGACTAACTGGATGTGCTCTCTTCATCCTCTGACATGGGAGCTGGCTCGGAGCTCGTCTGCCTGGCTGTGTGTTGTTAAATGGCGCTATAGAAATAAACTGAATAGAATTGCATGAAGGTAAAACCTGATTATTACGCAATTAAAATAATAAACTTTATGTTGTTAAAATAAACTCCGGCGTATTAATTTTCATGCGTTAATATTCTTTATTAATACTTAATCCATCATCCTGACAGTTATGTCTTTTATATAAATAATCTTTATGAACTTCATGAACACGAATCATGTTCTTTTAATAGGTTTGTGTTAAAATTATGGTGAAATAAAGGAGAATTTGTTACGTAATAAAAATAATAATGTTCTATTGAGCTGCAGTGAATCAGAAGCATCCAGAACTTCACTGACCGACGGTTCTGCTTAGATCGGATCAGAACATCAGAGAACATCGGTTCTCGGTTTCTGATTGATTTAAAGTCAGCGTGGCTCTGGGTTTTATTTAGAGGCATCAGAGTTAATGCATACAGATGCAGGCCACACTTTTCAGATCATTCTAAAATGGTGAAAACTGTGAATCATTTTCTTTCCTCCTGTTCAATCCTGAACAAACGGCTCCTAACAGGTCAGAAGGTCAGCCTCCAGCTGTCAGACCTCCTGGTCGCCTCCAGGATGGAGAAACGACACGACGGCGTTTTTCAGACCGACCTACTGCAGGCTGTCAGCTGCAGGAACCAGCTGACTGACTGATGACGTGAAACTAATGTTCAGTTAAATGACTTCCAGCCAACAGTGTCAGAATGAATCTGATGTTTGCATGTTAACTTCTACACTCAACTTCAACAGCTTTTAGTTTATTCAGTTTTGAAATAAATGTTTTTCAGGATGAATGAAGCAAAGGAAACTATTTTTATCAAACAAAGTTAAGCAGTTTTATCTTTCCTTTTCAGGATAATTTATTCTTTCCTTAAAAACTGATTTTTTACATTTCCTTCATTAAACGAAGGACGCTGGAGGTAATTCATTAAAGACGAAGATGCTTTCTGTCAAACATTTCCTCTTTCTTTCCTTCTCTAGAACCATTTATCACCAATAACAAAGCGCATCATGCAGCCGTGCAGATATGCAGCATGCAGCCATGCTGTCCTCAGGAAGGTCTGTGCTTTAAACTAAGAAGCTCTGCTTCGCTGTGGATTTAGTGCGATAATCTGGTCAGGAATGTTCGAAATAAGACAGGAAATAAAAAAAAAAAACATTTTTAATTAGAACTGTTAGATTAAATCCAAACTAATTATTCTTAATTTAATATATTTAATTAACAAACAAAAAAAAAGCTAAATATTAACTCTCCTGAAGCCTGTAATCTTTGATAAACTTTTTCCTCACACAGATGCAAACCACTGAACTTTGACCTCAGCACTGAGCAGCAGCTTCATGTTAGACCTTAATAACCAGCAGAACAAGATCTATTGTTCATTTCTGGTTCCTCATCTTTACTCCTAAAAACGGTTAACGCTCAGCCTCCACGCCTCCACGCCACGTCTGAAGCATCTGAAGCAGGTTTACGGTAACATTCCTGCTACTCTACAGCATCTGGAGACACCAGCAGCTCCACAGCAAACCTTCAAACAGCAGAACAGGCACACAGCAGCAGAGGATACTAACTTGGGAGGAGCGGGGCAGAAAACCTTTGGAACCAACGGCACAGAGACGACAGAGACACAGAGAAGAAGAAGAAAAGATCAACAGAGACCTGCAGATGAAGCTCAGCCTCCTGAGGATGATGAAGGACTGATGATGAAGGAGATATGCTGTTCATCAGAGATCTTCCTCTGATGTTCTGGAATCTGATCCATCCTGCGGGAGATCTGCAGACATCCAGAAGCTCCGCTGCTGAACTTTACTGGTATTGATGGGATGGAGACCCAGCAGCTAACTGGGATACAGCAGACTCTATGGGAGGCTACTGGGATCAGTAGGATGATGATGATGATGATTAATTGATTTATTGACTTAATTGATCTCACAGTGGAGAAATTTACTCGTTACATCAGCTCAAATATTCAAAACGTAGAAGGAGGTGCCAAAGCAAGAAAAGCTGCATGGGGTTATGTACAGTATATACAGTACATATATATATATATAAATATAAAACGATGATGATGATGAACAAGTCCTTAAACAGGATCCATTAAGATTCCCAGAATAACATCAAGTGTTTTCATTACATTCAGGATTCTAATGCTTTATTCTGATGCTAACATTAGCATATGCTCCAGCGGATACTAACGTTAGCATCCTCCCAGTTCCTCAATTCAAACCAGTTCTGGTTCTGATGGTTCTGGATGCTTTTCCTGCAACATCAGTGGTTTATTATAATGATGAGATTTCCTCTAAACTGCAAAAAAATAAATTCTAAATAAGAATTTTTTATCCTATGGAAGAAATTTACATTAAAACTAAGAAAAAAAAAAAACATTGCATCGTCTGCATATTATCTAATCATCTTATTTTAGGAGTAAATATACTCATTCCAAGGCAAATCATCTCATTTACCTGCTCAGATTAAAGGTAAATACCATTAATTTAAGGCATTTATTTCTAGATTGTTTTTGCAGTGCAATCTCTCCAGATCTGAATCCTGAAAAAAGTTTCTTTCTTATAACATTTTTCCTTCATCTAATTCTTAGGCATTACATGTTTTTTTCTAATGGATTCTTGCATCTCTGACTTTAGAAATGATGCTCTCTGAGCAGCAGCCCCTCCCTGCATATCTACATAGAAGTACACCCTCCAGAAGCGCCTACCTTAACCAGGCTGCGCCTGTGCTGTAAACAAACGCCCACTTTCTCCAACCAGGGAGGGTCAGCGTTTGGATGAGGTTTAATTCACCAGTTTGCTGTGATGTTTGACAAATGACCAAACGATGCAGACAAGATCTTTTCTCGTCATCTTGTCTTTAGGATCATCTGGATCTCTGCCGTTTGATCCCAGCTTAAAACCGTCGGAACATTTTATAGAATCTGAGATCATTTGTTCAGTTGGAGTCTGGCTGCTGCTGAAGCTGTAGATGCTGGAATAGTTTATATATCAATCCTGTGTAACATGAGACATTAATCCTGGGCGTTGGGCTCGGTTACAGAGGAACCTCCAGTGAGACCTCCTGACCTTTAGAAACGTCCTCACAGCCCAGCAGCTGCTCAGCCTCTTCGTTTACACAGTAACCGAATCACGGCTGAGGAAACCCTGCAGGCACGCCGCCGCTGCTGCAGAGTGGGAGGTGCTAATGGGTCCGAGGATCAACTGTCCTCCTCTCTTCAGCATCGTCACTGGAGCATTAAGCTGATCCACAGCCAGGCAGTTTATGAGGCTCTGCAGCCTCCGAGGGTCGGAAACAGAGAAAGGTTTGAAAGTTCTGATCGGTCCACAGTTTCTTTCTCCCTCTGGGTCAAAGGTCAGCAGAGCAGAGGCTCTGTCAGGGGGGGATTTACCATCAGGCAATACTAGGCAGCTACCTAGGGTCCCATAAAACTCTGTTTCCATGTATGGTTAATACAACTATTCCTTATTTCTGCAAATTAATTATGTTTTTGATAAAAATGCCATCAGAACGCTGATAATATTAAGTGTGTCTCAGCCCCCCCTTCAGTGTCGACCATATTGGATCAGTCCATTTGCTGCACATGTTCAGAAAGGTCCAAACAGACAGCAGCAAACCATTTGAAAACAAACCATGCAAAGAGCAGTGTTGCCAACTTAGCGCTTTAGTCGCTATATTTAGCCACTTTTCAGACCCCTCTAGCACTTTGATTTCCAAAAAGCTCCTAGCGCCAAATCTAGAGACTTTTTTTCTGCTACTGGAGACTTTGGAGACAACATCTAAAAGCAGCGAACTCTGCTCTCCAGAGCGAGTAGATTGGTAACCCCGCCTCCTGCTCTCCTCTATCTTGTCTGCTGTCATGATTCATGCAGCTATTATTTCATCCAAATGAAAAATGGAGAACAGATAAGCAGATCATGGCTTGTCTACAGTGAAAAGAAGGACTGGGTTATTTACTTTGGCCTTTTTGGAAACACAGGAAGGAGCAATCAGCTAAGTGAGCTTAGTGCTTGGAAAAAATCTTTCATTCCTTTAGAGACAGCATGAAAAGTCAGCTGAGTACAAAACATAGAGAGGAAAACAAGAAGAAAAGGGACAAGAAGAGAGGGACACAACCTAGAACAGATAATGGATGTCTATTCTATTAACATTTCTCTATCTGGAGAATGGGGCTGTTTTATGTGTTGTCCATTCAGAGGGCCCCCTGCCTGTGTTACCCTAGAGCCCCACATTTCCTAAATCCGGCCCTGGTTTCAGTGGACCTGCAGAGCACTAAGCTGCTGATCCCACGACCTCAATGGAAGAACATTAGTCATCATTTTGGAAATTCTCAAAGATGGCCGTTCCGTTACGCTTCAACATTTTCCTGGTAGATCAAACTTCAAAGTTCAGCTGATGATGGGATCCAGGAGGGATCCTGGCGTCTCTCCGTCCTCTGGAGGAGCTCCTGATGCTCCTCTAGTCCCTGAAGGTCACTTTGATAAAATGAAGTTAATCTGATGCAGAGAACAGATGATGAAGAAGGATTCGTCTAAAGTGATTCTATTTTGCGTTTCTATGTTAAATAAATTCAGTAATTCAGTTTCAGTCTCGTGACTTTTTAAAATGAAGGTCTTTGTCTTCATGACATCAGAGATTTGATCAAACCTTCACTGCTAAAGATTGAACTGAGCTTAGAATAATTTTATAAAGCGACATAAACTGAATGACCTTTGCTCTGAGAACCGGCCTCCTCCTCCTCCTGCTCCTCCTGCTCCTCCTCCTGTCATCTTTATCTCTACGTACCCAGCAGGCCGACCCGCCTGCATGGCCGCCATCTCCCTCAGAGTGTCCTCTGAGTACAGGCCCATAGGGGAGTTATACTGCCTCCGGTGGCGGGGGCTGACCGCCGCCGCTCTGCTCCCAGGGGAGCCTACCTCTACCGGCTCAGACGGGCGGCCGTTTACCTGCACCGGATGAGGAGGAGGGTGAGTCACGGGGGAGACATGGGGGGAGGATGCAGAAGATGTTGGATTCAGCTTTTCGATGAAACATTTTTTGTTTTACATCAGCAGTTTTTTTTCCCCCTCCAGTTTTAAAGAAATATAAAAATAAATATTTGGAAAAGTTTTTCCTTTTTCTGATGGAATCTTCTGTCTTCTCTGTTCATTATCAACTTTGAAGGTTTAAGGTTTGAAGTAAAACATAAACTCTAACTGAAAGTCCAGTAGGTAAAGGTAAAAAAACTTTATCATAAATGAAAACTAAGCCTCTATAATTGATGTTATAAGTTCATGATATCAGATTTTAGTTGAATTAATTCTGTGGCTTCAGTTAACAGTTTTATAATTTATCAGAAATATATGGAAGTAAAACAGCCTCATTGAATTTTTTTGTACACCGACTTTTAAACAAATAATTTTTTTTACACATTAAATTCATTACACTGAATTTTTATCTGGTGAAAATTCAGCTTTAAAAAATTGACTGCGAATGTTTTGACCTTTTGGTGATCGAATCAGTCGAGCAGCTTCTAGCCAATGAAATCAGCTCATTTGGTCAGAAAAAAACCAAGTTTGCCGCTAGCTGTGATCGGCTCAGTTATTTCACCCCGCGCCATAAGATGGAAAAACTCTGATAGCTGTCTGTTAGCAGCTACCTGACGTTTTCTAATCACATCTATTTATCAAGATAAAATCCTCATTTAGCTTCATTTAGCTGAGAACAAAGCTACGCCCAACTGTGTCGCGTGACCAAATGAGCTCATATGATTGGCTAGAAGCTGCTCGACTACATCGAGCAGCACTGATTGCTTTGGATTGAGTTCACCAAAACCTCAACGCATTTGCAGCTAAATTTTTTGCAGATAAAAATTTAGTGTAAGGAATTAACTTTGTAAATTTTTTTTTTTAATTTGATGCTAAAAAAGAGACAGTTTTTCTTCCATAGAGAGAAAATCCGAAGATTTTTGATTTTCTGTTGAAATAAATGTCCTATCCCTTTGTTGCACCTCGTCCCTGAGCCACCAGGGGCAGCAGAGAGCAGATTGGAGTCCATGTAACAGAGTGTGTAACAGAGGTCATGTTTATCCCGGTTTGTGAGGACATAAAAAAAAAAAAAAAAAGTAAAAAAAAAAAGTCCTGGTAACTACGGAAGAGGATTAGGGCCACTGGAAAAAAAAACGTTTTTTACATAGATTTTTAAAGATTTTTAAATTTTATTTCAGCTTAACATGGAGAAAACAGTCAGAATTCTGACTTTTATCTCAGAAAGGTCATTAAAACAAGAGAGCTAGTCTCTAAAACAGACATGGCTACAGCTTGATGCTAACATGTTTGTTATCTGTCAGAAAACTGAGAAAAAAGTCAGAATTCTGACTTTTTTCCCATAAACTGAAATAAAATTGAAAAATCAGTTAACTTTTTTTATTTCAGTGGCCCTAATCCTCTTCCGTAGGAAACAGATGATTTACCGCCGCGGTTAAAGTTACCTTCGAATGGATTTATGCATTTTTTCCATCGATTCTTTGAACAATTATTTTAAATTCTTTTAAAATGACATTTTATAAATCTGTTTATTTTTTTCTCATTTCAAATATATTGATATACTTTAATGAATAACTATTTTGAATAAAAATCACCTTGGATAGTAGAAGAACATCAGGATTCTTTTGAAAATAAGGGTTAACTGTGTGTTTGTACTGATAAAAATAAACGGCTTGATGACAAAGAAAAGGGAATAAAAACATTAAAGCTGCATAAAGAAACTGGAAGAATGAAATGGTCACTAAGCCGAACGGTTAGACAGGAGTGCAGAGTGTGGGTCTGTGGGCGGAGCTACCTGCTGGTGTGGGATCATGGGAATGGATGCATCCATCCTCGGTGCCGTCATTGGAATAGGCCGCTTCGACCTGCAGGAGGATAAAACCTGTTTTATTTTCTTTATCATAGAAACAGAGAATATGTTTGAAGTTAAATGAACCTGAGAAGAGAATCAGTTGATTGGCTGTTTTCATCTGCAGGATGTTCGTTTGTTTAATCAGCAGATCTAAGCAGTGACTGAAAGAATGAACCTACAGAAGCAGCTTTGTTCATGACGCGGTTTGATTAAAGCTGCTTTTGGTTGTGCTGAGAAGTTTCCAGGTGAGGCAGTCGCAGCATCTAACCATCTCTTAATGGTTTGTTTGGACCAATCAGTGGACCTTAGGTGAAGCTCTTTCTGATGGTGACAAGATGAGCGCCTATGGAGCTGGTTGCCTTTTGTATCTATGCTTCTTTTTCTATGTCTGCTTCTGTCTCCTTGAACCCCAGTGGGCCTCAGCAGATGGCCGCTCACACTGAGCCTGGTTCTGCTGGAGGTTTCTTCCTGTTCAAAGGGAGTTTTTCCTCTCCACTGTCGCTACAAGCATGCTTAGTGTGAGGGATTGCTGAAGAGTCAATGAGTCGATGCAATCAGCTGGTTTTCCTTAGATAGAAAACTTTGAATCAATCTGACTGGATGATCTGGTGAACTGGAAAGTGACCTGAGATGACATGATGTGAATTGGAGCTATAGAAATAAACTGAATAGAATTTCTTTGAAACAAGCAGGAGCAGCAGAGGCTCAATGATAAGTAGGTGTGGGAGCTTCTGGAGGAACCATCAGGATCTGGAGGATCTGCATTAAGGTTGTGTTGTAATCAACCTGCAGATGTTGCAAAGCTCTGCACCGGTGGCAACAGGATCATGTGATGGTCTCACTTCTCTCAGACATCAGCTCACTATAAACCAATCAGTCTGCAGAGGAGGCTGTTGAGTTTGGGTTCAGTTAGTTTCCCCTGTCCTGATGATCTGAGTGAGGCGACTGTTCAGGGTTAAAATAAACATTTATTTATCTACTAATGTTTATTAAATCTGCTTCTGATTTAAAGCAGGGTAGTCTGGCATCAGCTAGCTGAACAGGAAGCTGTCGGAAATCCAGTCTTACTTGGTCATGGTGAGCGCCAGGTTGTGATGAGCCATCTTGATTTTGTTCTGGGCCTCAAGGTGAGTCATCCCCTCTGTGCTGACGCCGTCGATGGCGACGATGACGTCCCCCTGGATCAGGTTCCCCTGCGCCGCCTTGCTGCCTGGACTGATCTGTTCAAACAGAAAGAAGCCGCTCTGTGAGAAGCTGCAGGCGCGACGAGGCGCTGCTGGAGCACGGGTCAGCGCACACGTCGCTACGCATCTCTGGATTAATTTAGCGGGAACAGCTGATGCTTCCATGAAACAATCAGGCAGATGGGCGGAGAATTAATCAATAAATCAGAGATTTATTCACTTTAATCTGGACATAAAAATGTTGGAATAAATAGAGAATCAGGTCAGAATGTTCAGTTCAGCCAAACATCAGGCTGAAATAATCAATCAGCAATAAGAGTAGAGTTACAGAGATCCATTAAACGAACCAGAACAACCTGAAAATAAGACAAACATTCGGCAGAGGATTAGGGCCAAAGGTAAAAATTAACTAAGTTTTTATTTTATTTGAGTTTAAAATGGGAAGAAAGTCAGAATTAGAGCCACTTTATCCAGAGGCACTAATCCTCTTCAGTAAAAACCATCTATGAATCAACAAAATAAAGAAGACTGATAGCAGCCCAATATCAGTAGAAGATAAAAGTTACCAATAATTATTTTTGATTTCAGAGGAAGATTGTTTCTAGGAGCATCAGAGCAGCAGATGCTCTGACCTCAAACTTCTTCTAGGAAGGCGTTTGCGTAAAAGCTCGGTCGGATAAAGAGGAGTCTGACCTTTTAAACATTTAAGATATTAAAATCCTGAATAGTGCTGGCAGCCAGTGCAGTAAGGACAGTATGGGAGCAATGAGCTCACGTCACCTGATACCTGTTAGCAGACAGAAGGTCCTACGGGGCCCGGGCCCCTGTTCATTCTGTTCAATTTGCATCTTTTCTAAGCAAAAAAAAAGGCTTTGTTTTTGGTCCACTCTATAAAACCTGGAACTAAACGCTATTTCTGACATTTTGATTGAAAAAGCTTCCTGGATGGAAGAGAAACTTCAAACTAGGAAACAAAATCCAGTTGATTTATTTTTAATGTTTTTTGGAACAGCTGGAAAATAAAAAATATGATAAGAAAGGAGATCAGTGAAAATAATCATAGTGACTTTAAAAGTTTAATTCTTCCAGGAATGAGAACAGAGGTGTGCTAACTCCTTACTCCCTGCTCTCAGCAGCAGATGTGAAAAACAAACTGTCACGATTTGTTTGGAGGTTTTTATGAGGACCCAAATGCAGAGGCTGACAGGCAGAGGTGAGTTCTTAAAAGGTTTAATAGGGCTCGGGATCCACGTTGCATTGTGGGATGTGGCGGCCATCTTGATGGCTACGCTAACGTAAACATAGCTCTGATACAACGTTGTTGTTGAAAGAAGAGACGTAGAAGTAGAGAGAAAAAAGATGTTAAAATCCCGAAAAGGATCTGGAATTTACACATTAAATAGAGAAGCCAGGGACCGGTATGGTGACAAAATCAGCATTATTAATCATTTGGATCCATATAAAGTTCCAAACAATGAGTGGAGCACCGATGAGTGAGCGCCTATACTTCAAAACAGTTCCGAAGCTACAAGTCCTTGGAGTCTCATGTGCAGTTCATGAATGGATGGGTTCAGGAGCTGCAGATCATAAAGCCAGCAAACAGTGGGAACACAGTAATCCGTACGAAGGTAAGCTGTGATCAGACGGGCTCTGGAACCTGCTAGTTTAGCAACTGCTAACCGCTAGTGCTAACAACCACTCACGCATGTAATGTACTTTTAACTAGCTGCTATGTGTTTCAAAGGTGTAGTTAGTAACGTTAACTGCCAACCCTCCGGGTTTCTCACGTATTTGAGCCTTTTCCCGTTTTTATTATTTTCCCGTAAAAGATCCCAACTTTGAGGGAAAGAAACAAAGTAGGCTATAAAATAAAACCGTGCATCTTTAACTTACCAGAATGAAAATGCAGGGAACACACTCTCATTGACATTGGAATACTGTGGAAAGTTATGTTCGGTCGTCTTACAGCCCCGATCCAAGCTAGCCGACGACTCTTTATCTCTGACGCATGGTCTCCATGGTTGCGCCTCCAGGCAGGAAAGCGGTGGAAAGTTAACCCATTTTCTATGTTGTTCCCATGGCGATCATGTGTTGCGCTGTTACAGCCCGCAATACAGCAACGGTTTACCATGGCTGAAATCAAGTTAAGGTGAAATTAATCAAATTAAAACACGGCTGAGAGGGAGTACAGTACGCGGTAGTCATAGGCAGTAGTCTGAGCCGCGGTAAAAGAGGCTGTCAAGATGGCGGCGACGCAAAGTGCTTACGTCATGACAACCAAGCCCTATAAAAGATTAGGCAGCAAAAACAGGAATCCAAAAATCCGACATAAAAATCAAAAACAAACCAGAACCATAGAGACATCAGGGGAAAACCATCATGAGGAGCCAGGGTGAGAAAAGGTAAGACGAGGAACCAGCAAAGAGGGACTGCAGTGGGAGTAGGGTTGGGAATTGAAAAGATTTTCACGATTCCGAGTCCCTTTTCGATTCTATGAAACGATTCGATTCTTTATCGATTCTTTTTTCGATTCCAATTTGGGGGAAAAACGAGAACAAACAGTTTGATTATCAGAATCAACTTTGTTTACTTAACTATTGCACAATCTTACAAACTCAACAAGATCAAGATGTCCACAGGAAATGTGAAACTGGAGTAACATCTGTGTTTAAATGAAAAATGAATACAAGAACAAACTTAATAACCAACAATGTCTAATAACAAATGATGGGATAATAACCTATTTTAAATAACAAAAAATACTAATTATAAAACAGTAGTAGGGAAAATTAACAGTTCTTTTGCAGAAAGATGAGCATATCTGCTTTTTCTGGAAGGATAAGGGATCTTTCAGGGCTTATGGTGTCTCCAGCCGTGGAGAACACCCTCTCAGATGGGGTGGAGGAAGCCTGCACACAGAGGTAGTTTTCAGCCAGTCCAGATAGCAAGGGCAGCGTATCTTGCTTGTTCCACCACCCACAGTGTGGCGCTATCCCTGCAGGGGATGGAGGGCAAGCTTTTATAGAGCTGGATTTCCTGATCTACCCTCTGGGCTAAGGAAAGACGGGGCTTTGATTCACAAAGTGACCGCAGCACGTTGTCTTCCTCCTCGAATAGTTCTTCCAACTTGCGTAACTTACGTAAAAAACGTGACGTAAGTCGTGCTCCCCAGAGCCGGCGCTCTAGGCTCTGGTGCTGCGGGAATCGAAAAAAGAATCATTCAGCGAGCTGCCAAACGATGCCATGGAATCGGAAAATACGGAACCGGTTCTTAACAGGAACCGGTTTTCGATTCCCATCCCTAAGTGGGAGTGTATTTATGGCTGACTGAACAAAGGTAGGACTAACGAACTGATAGGGAGCAGGTGTGACTAGAGCTGATGAGGAAGCCAAGGGAAAAGGACAGAAAACCCTAAGCAACTTAAATGAATCCAGGCACCAATAAAGCTAGAAAACAAGGAAAAACCTGGCTAAACTTGGAACTGGAAACTTACAGAAAAACAACAGAACCAAGATCGTTACACAAACAGGAAGTAGGAAAAATGAAACAGCTTTTCGGCGGGAAAATAAAATAAAAACAAAATAAAAGCTCCTACAGACCCAACAACTGGATGCAGAACTTCAAACTGGACGTTTTTATGGACAATAGTGATTTCAAACAAAATCACAGCATCTGATTCCCGATGGCAGCCAGAGGCCTGCAGGTCTATAAAAGGGCTGAACCTGATCCTGATGTTAACCAGGATAACCGGTCAAAGTTATCAGTTAACAACCTGCCCTGTCACTCATTATTAACTTTTTCATTTCAAATCGATGACTGAAAATAAACATTATCGACATTTCAAGGCCAGAAAAGGCTAAAAAGGTTAAATATAGTTTATTATCCTCATAAGATGAAATCTAGAGATGATTACTGCACTGATCTTTTCATTTTAATAATCAGTCCAACATTCCTGAACAATCAGAACAGCTAAGAACTCAAAGGACCACCTGCTGCGTCCTTCAAGTAAGTCAGTCTCCCCCATCCTGCTTCTGTTCAAACATAAAAAGTTTATCTGCATCTTCGTCTTAACGCCATTTAAACCGGACTAAAAAACTTCTGCCAGACAAGTAGGAGTTAAACCAGTAAAGCTCCAGACCAACTGGTCCAGAAGTGGTGATGGATCGTTACGGCGCTCGGCGTCAACAGCAGCCGTCAGATCAAGCTAGATTAGAACAGCAGATAATTAAAGAGTCTTTGTTGTGGAGTTTCTGTGCCGAGACGAATTAAAAGCAAAACTTTCTATGACTTTCCTATTGAAGCTGTAGAAGGAGGACATAATGTAACATTAGGATCTAAGTTTCTGTTTCCAAGGCGGTTGGATCAGGAGATGTTCAAAAAGCCGCTGAATGAGGTTTAATGTCAGAACGGAACAGAAAGGTCTTAGAAAACTAGGGATGCAGGATATTGGGATTTTGGCCGATATCCGATATGCCGATATTTTAAAACTCATGTAGCCGATAACCGATATCGATACCGATGTTAAAGCTGGACAAAAATAAGTAGTCATTGAAAATAGCAGTTTTGTTATCCATTTCTGACACTTTGATATCAGCATATGAAGTATATTATTCTTCAAATAGATTTTTAAATTGCGGTATCGATCTATTTTACTTTCAAAATCTGGTGAAATTTCATCGTTCTGTTACAAACTCTCGTGATATTTTTCAAATTCTTGTGAGATTTTGTTAGTAAAATAGATCGATACCGCGTCAATATATCAACATAAAAATATGGCAACATTTGGTGAATTTTCGGGGGATTTCGTAGCATAACGATGACATATAGCAATATTTCATTAGTAAAAGAGATTGATATGGTGTTTTTAAATGGCAATATATCAGCATAGGAAGATATTGGGATATTTTAATGTATCAATATTTTTCCGTCGTCTAAGTTTTTGAGGAAGAAGAAGAAGTAGTATTTTTTTAGACTTTAGAAACTCAGAAGCTGATCAAATATCGGGTTAAATATTGGTGGGGTGGCCGATGTCCGA